TGCCGTTTGGGTCGGAGAAGTTTTCGGAGACGTTGAAACGTTTCTCTGTGGAAGCTGGTTCTGAAGAAGCGGAGATGATGAAGAAGACGATTGACGAGTGTGAAGCGAAAAAAGTCGGTGGAGAAGAGAAGTATTGTGCGACGTCTTTGGAGTCGATGGTTGATTTTAGTGTTTCGAAACTTGGTAAATATCACGTCAGGGCTGTTTCCACTGAGGTAAATACACTAACCACTGTTTTTTTTACCGGTTTGGTTTTGACTCAAAACATATAAGATTAATATTAAATATAAAATATTTATAATTAATTCGTTTTGTTATGATAAATTTAAATTTTGTTAAGGTTGATGTAGTTTTGGTCAAATTTACTTTTGTTTTCTTATGAATAAATATGTAGCTAATTAATTGGTTTGGTTATGATAGATTTGGTTCAGGTTGTGTAAAAAACATATACAAATAGCTACTGTGTACTTAGCTAATAATTATTTTTATGAAATATTAAACATGGTTACATCTAGATAGTTTAACATAGAAATTACTTCTTAATTTATATAAGTTCTTTTATATATATATATATATAAGTTCGTGTGGTTCGTTTATACTCAAATTGGTTTAAATTTGGCTTTACATATATAAACCAATCTAACTATACATGAAAACACATGGTTCGGTTTAGTTCGAGTTGATTTGTATGTCCACACCATATATTGTGGCTAATTAATATTTTGGCTATAAACCAATGTAACTTTGGTTACTACAGGTGGCTAAGAAGAACGCACCGATGCAGAAGTACAAAATCGCGGCGGCTGGGGTAAAGAAGTTGTCTGACGACAAATCAGTGGTGTGTCACAAACAGAAGTACCCATTCGCGGTGTTCTACTGCCACAAGGCGATGATGACGACCGTCTACGCGGTTCCGCTTGAAGGAGAAAACGGGATGCGAGCTAAAGCAGTTGCGGTGTGCCACAAGAACACCTCAGCTTGGAACCCAAACCACTTGGCCTTCAAAGTCCTTAAGGTGAAGCCAGGAACCGTTCCGGTCTGCCACTTCCTCCCGGAGTCTCATGTTGTGTGGTTCAGCTACTAGATAGATCTGTTTTCTATCTTAGTGTGGGTTATGTATAATTACGTTTCAGATAATCTATCTTTTGGGATGTTTTGGTTATGAAGATACACATACATATACATATAGTAATGCGTGGTTTCCATATAAGAGTGAAGGCATCTATATGTTTCTTTTTTTAAAACCTACGTAGCTGTCTTTTGTGGTTTGCTTCTTGTGGTTTTGCAAGAAACTATAATAAAATTAGAGTTGAAATGTTACCATTTCTATGTTTTGAGTTAATTGACGGAAGACTTAAAATTCAGCAAGTAAGACCATCTCCAAGGAGAAGTTTCTTAAAATCAAATAATCAAAAATAATTAAAAAGAAGGAAAGAGAGCAGGGATGAGCTCTTTTATATCTAGCGATAATTTTGCGAGCGAAGATTTTATTCCATAGTTACATACCACAAAATATTTGTGATTGGTGAGAATTTTGTGAAAAGATAACTCAAAGAATCATCTTTATATTTAATCTAGTTTTGTCTTAATATGGATTCCAGACTAGTCACAACAATCGGATCACAATTTCAGATCGGTTGGTACTATCGGGTCGCTATATCGATTGGTACTATTGGATCGCTACACAACTTCACATCGATTGATACTGGTTTATCTATTCTTATCATATCTTTCTTTCACCCTCTTTTTGCTAGCCATATTTTCTTTTTCTATAAAAATTAAAGGTAAAGAGATATTTTCTTTAATTAATGAAAACCAATTGGTAACTAAAAACATTATTTCCTTTATAATTTTATATTTTTATAATGCATATTCTTTGTTAAAACGTGTATGTGGTGTTTTTTAGTCGATCATGGCATTTCATTTCATAATGAAAACAAATTCCTCCTTTTTTTTGACAGAAAAATCTAATACAACCAATTATAGGCTAGTCATAGATTGCTATTTCAAATTGTCCTTGCATCTTTTCTTTTCTTTGCTAGCCTTTTTTTTTAAAAAGCTTATTATTGATTTGTATATATAACATTGTTACACCAGGAAGCAATTTCTGGAAAATGTTATGTTCTATGCACTTCGAAAGATGTAAGGAATCCACAACCCTCTGATGAAGAAATCAAGTCGGCCGACTTCATTTCTCGCCGAACTTTTGATGTTGGAACTTAGAAAATCTTAGACAAGATAGATGATAAAATTGCTGGAGTTGATGGTATTTCTCCTTTCTTTCTAATACCAATTTACTTTATCTTTAATATCGTGCTCGACATGCTTGTTCTTTCATGTGAATAGAGTGACATGTTTATTTGCTTTAGTGATATGTTATAATTTAGCTAGAAATTATTTTCATTTTTGATCATTTTTACTCTTAAAGTTAGCTAAAATTGCTTCTTTAATATCTTCAACTTAAATTGTTATTTGATTCAAGCCTTCTTTGGCTGGCTGGCCATTCAAGAATCTTTTAGTCTAGTCGATTATCAAATTTTGTAAAATGTTACTTTTAAAATGTCTAAACTATAACCAGTCTTGGGAAGAAAATTTGAAGTGCGCAGAAGGTCAAGGGAATGTGGTTCTCCTTCAAAACTTGGATCCTACTTAGGAGTCTAAACTAGAGTTGTTTTCCTTAGTCTAAAAATGATATATATTGCTTAATGGTTGTAACTTTTATCTAAGAAACTTATGAATAATGCTTTAGGACATAGTCTACTCGGCTTTGAATGAGCAATGCATGGCGAGGATGATAGAGCAGACGTCAGTTAGTCCTTATATTGGTAAGTCTACCATTATACTAGCATGCAATTTTGGTTTTATAGCAATGGCTGACAAAATTTGACAATAGAAAGTATCTACCTTTTTGAGTTTTGATTATGCCCATCAAAATTTTCAACTGGAATAAGGATTACTATGGCGTCTCATGTTGATCGTAATCTAGGTGAAGCTTTGGTGATATTCGAGACAAGTTATACTGCGTATTAGGAATGTGGCCTAACTTAACCCAAAAGCTAACTCAAGAGTTAAGGATTGCCACATCCTTTATATACTACCCAAAGATCTTAATTCCAAGCAATGTGGGACATTCTAATAGGCCTCCTCGAGATGTGGGTGGGAAACGGTCCAACGGAAAACAGCCCAAACCCAACATCTCGGAAAACAACAAGACATGCCACTTATATGGGCCACATAGGTGGGAAACCATTTTTGTGGGAATTTGCTTGTTGGGCCAACCTTGGGCTCTGATACCATATTAGGAATGTGGCCTAACTTAACCCAAAAGCTAGCTCAAGAGTTAAGGATTGCCACATCCTTTATATACTACCCAAAGATCTTAATCCCAAGCAATGTGGGACATTCTAATACTGCGGAAAGTGCAGTTAAAGGACTAGAAGAGGGATGTTTGTTGCTAGATAATGGAAGGTATTCTCCTTTTTTCTACTTAGCTTAGTTCAAAATCATAGTTTTCAGGGGATTTGTTTTACCTTAAACTTCTAAGGGTGATAATACGATAGAGAAACAAAAATGACTTGGGACTCATTTGCATATATACCAAAAACATTATACTTTGAAAAGTAGAAACTCTTTATGCTTATTTCATTTAATTTCATTAAGCTAAGTTAAGCATATATGAATTTTTATATAAGAACTTTTATTTTACATTCCTGGACAGGATAGTTGTTGCTACTAGTGTTAAGGTGAACTCTCCAGCGAAGCCTCCATCGCAGTTCATTGGCTATGTTAAAACCAGAACTTAAATGCGACGAGAAATTGTATTGTTTTTACTTCTTCCCCTAAAACACATACAAGTAAACAGATTCAGCTCCTTTAAGCAAAGTTCCTACATTTTTCTTTACAGGGAAATGCTGTGGCTACATCACATTGTTCTAAGGATAACACCATTGAATTTGAAATGGCCATGGATTGGTATTTGCACCGAGACAGATTTGAGCTAACTTGGAAAAGGATATTTGAGGTAAAATTTAGTGTTGAGACTATGAAAATGTATACTAAAAAAACCTTACCTGCCCTATTGAAATAACCCAAAATGTTTGAAAAGTTTATTGTCTAGCCATGGCATTTCAATTTACTTTCTTTGACTTATTTAGTTTAAACGTAAATCTTTTCACTTTTTTTTGTAGCAACAAATTGAGAAGACGAAGAAGTTGCATATTAAATTCAAGCCAGAACATGCTTAGTTTCAACACCATCATGTTGTGTTCTAGTGCAAGTAAAAACTCCCCGAGAAGCTTGTGTCCATCATCTAAAAAAGCAATTGTGAAGATAAGTTTATGTTATTTTGTTGAAAAATCATTAACTTTTTCCTTGAGAAAGATCATGAGACTTTTGTTAATTTAGTTTATGTGATATCATACTAAAAGCATGATGTGGCCGGATAATACCCAAAAACCAACTTTCTCTCCAAATTTATAATTCCCGATTATATAATTTGCAGAATATCAACTTAAGTCTTTTTGGTTTAAAATTCCATTGTATTTCGCTTTGAATAACTTATTGTGATAGAACGAACAAACTCGCACGTTAGACGACTTTTATCTACAAATTATTATCCTTCCTCAAAATAAAACAATCTACTCCACTAACTATTGAAGTTCTTTATAGAAAATATCGTAAATATCAAGAGTTAAATGTTTCTAAAAAGCAAAAGAAAAAAACAAATAGCAAAACCTTTTTCATTAATCTTTCGATTCAATCCAAAACGTTACGTGTAAAAAAGCTACAAAACGACGCCGTAGTACGTTGAGATATGTGACCGTTAGCTTCATCCTTTAAAAATAAAAATATGAATATAGAGACAAGACACCACTATAGCATGAAAGCGCGAGTACACAAAAAACCCCCACTCGCAGCGCGTGAGACAAAACACCCCCTTCTCTCTTCTTCTTCCTCCTCTATCTCTCTCTGCTGCATTTTTGTTCCCTTCATTGTCAATCTCTCTCTCTCAAAAAAAAAAACCTCTCTTTTTCAAATGGGTTGTGCTCAATCTAGGGTTGATAACGAAGAAGCAGTAGCTAGATGCAAAGAACGACGAAACGTAATCAAAGAAGCAGTTTCCGCAAGCAAAGCTTTCGCCGCCGGTCATTTCGCTTACGCTATTGCTTTGAAGAACACTGGTGCTGCTTTAAGTGACTATGGTCATGGTGAATCTGATCAAAAAGCTTTAGATGATGTTTTAGATCAACAACATTACGAGAAACAGAGTCGTAACAATGTAGATCCGGCTGCTCCTCAGCCACCTCCTCCGCCACCTATTGAGAATCTTCCTCCTCCGCCTCCTCCTTTGCCTAAATTCTCTCCTTCTCCGATTAAACGTGCGATTAGTTTGCCGTCTATGGCGGTTAGAGGTCGAAAGGTTCAGACTTTAGATGCTATGGCGATTGAGGAAGAGGAAGAAGATGAGGAAGAGGAAGAGGAAGTGAAGGGTAGTGGTAGAGGAACTGCTCTTAAGGAGGAGGAAGAACCGAGGACGCCGGAGAATGTTGGGAAGAATAATGGGAGGAAGAGGTTGGAGACGACAACGCCGGAGATTGTGAGTGCTTCTCCGGCGAATAGTATGGCTTGGGATTATTTTTTCATGGTGGAGAATATGCCTGGTCCTAATTTAGATGATAGAGAGATTAGAAATGGTTATGAGAATCAGAGTAATCATTTTCAGTTTAATGAAGAGGATGATGAAGAAGAAGAAGAGGAAAGGTCTAGTTCTCGTAAGGTAGTTGAGGAAATGGAGCCGAAGACGCCGGAGAAAGTTGAAGAAGTTGAAGAAGAAGAAGATGATGAAGATGAGGAGGAGGAAGAAGAAGTGGTGGAGGTGAAGAAGAAGAAGAAAGGGAAAGCTAAGATTGAGCATTCGAATACTGCTCCACCGGAGTTTCGGCGTGCGGTTGCTAAGACTACTAGTGCTGCTGCATCATCAAGTGTGAATTTGATGAAGATTCTTGATGAGATTGATGATAGATTCCTTAAGGCGTCCGAATGTGCTCAAGAGGTCTCTAAGATGCTTGAAGCTACAAGGTTACATTATCACTCGAATTTCGCTGATAACCGAGGTATTGAACTCGTATTTTTCCTTGTTATTGAAGCATGGATGTGTGTATATTCTTGCAATTTGGAGAATCTTATTGAGTTTCACGAATTTAGTGTGGTCTAGTCAATGATCAAAGCTTATTGTAATGTAATTGTTCCCTTAGCTTGCTTTTTTAAGTGATTCATAATGTGACTATGATTTGGTTAGAAAGTTTGGTTCTTTGTTTCTCTAATGGAAACAAGAAATATTCTTAAAGTATGAGACTTTGATGCACTTTTTGGTCTGTGATTTAACTTTTATGAGAATCTAAGATGAACCTTAAATTAATAGATCTTATGGTTTTCTTAATCGCTTTTCTTTTTCTTTTCTTTTCCGTTTAAAGCCATTAAACAAAGTTCTTGATTTGACTAAGTAACACTTTAACCTCCTTTTACTTGTTATCCCTACCATTATCTTACCTGATCTGTCTCTATTGATTGTGTTGAATGTTTCTTGGACAGTTGTTGCTTTCTTGCTGATGAAAAAAAATGCTCTCTTATGTTGAGCAGGATATGTTGATCATTCAGCTAGAGTAATGCGGGTTATAACTTGGAATAAATCGTTAAGAGGCATATCCAATGGTGAAGGTGGAAAAGATGATCAAGAATCAGATGAGCATGAAACTCATGCTACGGTGTTGGATAAATTGTTGGCGTGGGAGAAGAAACTCTATGATGAAGTGAAGGTAATTTAACTTTTAAGCTGATCATTGCTATCAGAAGTGAATGATGTCTAGTTGAATGCATTGTTTTGGTGGTGTAGCAAGGTGAGCTTATGAAAATAGAGTATCAGAAAAAGGTATCTTTACTCAACAGGCATAAAAAACGAGGTGCGAGTGCAGAGACCGTGGAGAAAACAAAGGCGGCTGTGAGTCATCTACACACAAGATATATCGTTGACATGCAATCCATGGATTCAACGGTTTCCGAAGTAAACCGTTTAAGGGATGATCAATTGTATCCAAGACTTGTCGCCTTAGTTGAAGGGTAAAGTTCTCTCCTTTTCAAATGATTCTCTGTGAAAAGATTAGCTTAAGCCTTCTCTCTCTAACCAGTTTTCTCGACTCGTGAGATCTGCAGGATGGCGAAGATGTGGACAAACATGTGCATACACCACGACACCCAACTAGGTATTGTTGGAGAGCTAAAATCCCTTGAAATCTCAACTTCTCTCAAAGAAACCACAAAGCAACATCACCATCAGACACGACAGTTCTGCACCGTCTTGGAAGAATGGCATGTTCAGTTCGATAGACTCGTGACCCACCAGAAGCAGTACATTAACGCTCTCAACAGCTGGTTAAAGCTAAACCTTATCCCCATTGAGAGCAGTCTTAAAGAGAAAGTTTCATCACCTCCAAGGCCTCAGCGCCCGCCAATCCAAGCCCTTCTCCACTCATGGCATGACCGACTTGAGAAACTTCCCGATGAAGTCGCCAAATCAGCTATCTCCTCTTTTGCCGCAGTCATCAAAACCATCTTACTTCATCAGGAGGATGAAATGAAACTGAAGGAGAAATGCGAAGAAACACGAAGGGAGTTTATACGGAAGAAGCAAGGTTTTGAGGATTGGTATCAGAAACATTTGCAGAAAAGAGGACCGACAGAGGAAGCTGAAGGCGGGGACGACACAACAACGAGCTCTAAAGATCACGTCACAGAGAGGAGAATTGTTGTGGAGACACTGAAAAAAAGACTTGAAGAAGAAGAAGAAGCTCACCAGAGACATTGTGTTCAGGTGAGGGAGAAATCTCTCAACAGTTTGAAGATCAGATTGCCTGAGATCTTCAGGGCACTGTCTGATTATGCTCACGCTTGTGCTGACTCATACGAGAAGCTCAGAATCATATCGCAGAGTCACAAATCAAACGGTGGAGCCACTGAATCTTCTTGAACCAGTTTTAGTTCTTTTCGACTTATGTAATATGTATTATGATGGGAACATTATGCATAGTTTTGTGACCAGATTATGTAGTTTACTAGTATTGTTACTGAGTTCCTGTGTTTATTATATCCACATAATGTCCAAATTTAAAACATGCTAAAAATTTAATAAAATGAAATGTCAGAAGTGGGATTTGAACCCACGCCCTCTTACGAGGACCAGAACTTGAGTCTGGCGCCTTAGACCACTCGGCCACCCTGACTTATTACAATCAAATTTGCACTAGGAAATATCTATTTTAAATTTTCTACTAACACAGTTGAGGAACCACATAAAAGGACAATCAAAGACCTAAAGTTTTTTCTAAAAATAGTTTACCATAACATCAAAGATGGAAGAGATACTACATAATAAGAGTCAAATCTACACTGTTAGGAATGGAGTATATCATCATCATATACCAAAAATGGAAAATATATCTCCCAAGTTCTAAATCTTCTAATCAAAAGCTTGGTCTCTCCACCAACAGACAACACTTCAAAAGCTTTTTATACTATTTCTTCAACAACATTGAGGTTTTAACTAACAGATGGCTGAGTTCCTGGTAACTCTTTGTCTCAACCTGTTTTTGGCACCGAATTCTTCCTTTGGCTCTGCGTCCTCCTTGCTTTTCTCATTCTCTTTTTCATCCTCATTGTTGATTTCAGGTGTTTCATCCTCTGTTGACTTCATCTTGTTACCTTCAGAACTGTCGTTTGACCCCAATGAGGTACTTTGTTGCTCCCTTCCTTCTACCTCATCTCCATCGGTTTCCCTGATCAACAAAATTAGTGAATGGTTGGGTTTCCTCATGCTAAAGCTCTATCCAAACTGACCGGAAGCTGTCTAACATCAATTTGCATCTCTTAATATGGAAGAGACATAAAGGAATGAGATATAGAGCATGGTAACAGTTCCATAACTCAAGAGGCAATCGATCTGTTTTTAATACTACATTGGCTTTCACTTTTCAGCATACCATTGACAGATAGAGTCACTTGACAAACGCCGCTTACTAATTTGGGCTTGATGTCAAACCAATGGTACATTGGAAAACGAATCTACACATCAACAGTGGTTTCATTCTAGTTCATCAGATTATTTGAGAGTTTAATCAACCCAACTGCAAATACTATCTCATATGTGCTAAGTATTGATGTATAGATGACTTGTATTAAGATAGAAGTCAAGCTCTTACTCTGTTTCTTCCACGGCATCACTGATCATCTTGTCATACTCGTCTGCATAATAAAATATGCAAACTTATAAGCCACGCCAGCGGGTATATAATGATACATCAAGTAACGGAATAAACGCAAGAGATTATGACTTTACCAAAGGTGTAAGTAGCAGGCATACGATTACGACAAGAACGAGTAGTTCGGAGAGTACGCGAGAAATTGACATTAACAACCATCTCTTGCTTCATTTTCTTTTTCATGGCCCTTTCTTTCTTCTGTTATGCAGTTAATATGAAACACCATAAAAAAACATGATATAGCATAAAGAAGTAATTAGAGAGATGTAGCTAGCAGTAGAAAAAAATACCTTATGATATTTCTCAACAACAGGTATAGCTTCTGTCTCAATCATCCCGCCAATTGCAGCCAAAGAAGAAGCTTTGCTTGATGATAACTCCCTCTGCCATTACAGGATATACTTAATGAATGTCAAAATAGTTACACACATCTTAAAGAGTAGAAGCACAAACAAAAATCAAAATCTTACAGCGACTCTCTGAAATTCATCTAGATTGGTTGCTTCAGTTTCCCAGCTCAAACAAGATAAATCCGAGCCAGCATTCTTCTTTGAGATTTCATTGACTTCCCTATATATTCTGTACCCCTGGATGTCATTACCATCAAACCTACATCGAAATATCAAAAGATAAAAGTTGATCACATTCACACCAAATGTAGAAACATATAAAGAAGTAATAGGACATCTACCAGTAAGACGTCTTCTTTCCATCTCCTCCTAACTTCCTTTTGCGGAAACGGGAATCCCAGTCTCCTTCTTTGGTATTTTCTTGAATATACGAACGAGCATCATCTTGCTACACCATCCACCAACGGAAACAAGAGGAAAAATTAACAAATGTAACTAGTAAATGATCTTGTTTACATAGTTTCTCTTTATAGATGTGTAACCAAAATAGTCATGCATTAAAAATACACTTCAACAACTAAATAAAGAGAAGAAATTACTTGAACTCGAAGCTCACAAAGTGCCTTCAGAATCTTCAGGCGGTTAATAGGGTCAAGTCGTTGGTATTCAGATATCTCCTCCCTGTTCATACACCAGAAGAAAAAGAAAGTTGTTATCAATACCAATTCAACCTGAATAAATTCACATCATTTCACCACTTACCCTTTGTTAGCAGTAATAGGAATTTCACCCTTAGCAATCTGCAACAATGGCATTACAGGAATCAATAAGGAAAACCTATTTCAAACAAAAGAAGATATAAGCTAACAAAAGAGTTCAGTGTAGCCTTCTTACCCATGGCCACCATGGAGCAAGTTTCTTACACAAAACCGTGATCCAAGCATTTGCATCGTCTACCGTTTTATTCACCGGTGGTATCCCCTGAGAAAATTCACATCCAGAAGGTTTCTTATAAGGCAACAAACACATAAACTTAAGCTTGTTAGTATCCATTAACAGCTGCAAGGTCAAAACCTTCAAAAGAGCAATGTGAAGCTGAGCATTTGTAGTGTTGGACTCTATAAGACCCATCTCAATTTCTTCAGCTGTTAACTTCAATTTCTCCGAGACAAGTGGTCCAAAGACCTATCATAATCAATGTCAGAAAATGTATAATTTCCCATGAAATTGAAGAACCCAAGAAGCAAAATCTCTTACAAATCCCTAGAATCTAATGCATGAAAGAAAATATTCCGTTTAAAACGAAGATTCGTCTGAAAAAAATGCAAAATCGAATCTTTTTGTATGAACGACAAGAGATTTCATACATTGAAGAAATTGAGAACCGAAGCAAGTTCCCAACGTCCACGCAAGTGCTTCACAGCTGAATCGGAGGAAGAATCGTCTGAATCGGAGGAGAGAATCGTTAAGTCTTCGCAGAGTCGTTCTTCTTCCATCTTCGGCTCAGGTTCTCTGGTCACCACCGTCGTCCTCTGGCGGAGCGTTACCATTTTTGTCGGAGAGAGAAAGTGGAAGATGAATGGGTTTATGTGGGAGTGGAGAATCCGAGAATGTATAAAAATTGGAGAAATTTCTGGGGGAAATTCTCCCGCCAAAAAAGGAATGATTTTACTATTTACTATTTTACCCTAAAACACCCTAGGGCTATTATTTTCCCTTTTTGTACTTTCTTGTATTTTCTTCTAGTTCTATTTTAGTCCCTTTATTCTGAAAAATTTAGTAATTCGGCTTTAATTTCTTTTTGCTATTGTACCTGGTCCTGAACAGTACCTTTTTTGTTTGACAACTTGAACAGTACATTATTGATTCCTTCTACTATAGTTAACATGCAAAGAAAGTCATATAACTTATGGTCAAATATGAATATATCTCAATCTTTGATCCGCATAATATCAAAACGAATATATACTACATGACAAGTTGAGCAAATTCTTGTTCATTTGTAATCTATTTTTATGAGTTTTTTTCACTTCAATCCGAATATACTGGATTCAACCACATGTATTTTCTGAATTCACACATTGTGATAAAAGTTGCAATAATAGCAATGTGAAACTAATACCTTAAATTGTATGTAGATACAATACCAAACCAGTGAGATTCTTTATTGACATTTATAATATTTCCTTTACCTGATATAGTTTCTCCAAGAGCATCATCCCCTCCTACATTATAAATAAGGAACTGTAATGATCAATTTAGCAGTTTCATGCCTAAGTGAAGCTGTGAGAGGTTAAAGTGAGTACCGGATTTAGCCTCGGCTGTTGCTTAGCATGTCTAGAATAGTGTAAGCAGCTTTCTGAAACTGTTCTTTCTCTTCCTCAAGAATTCTTTTCTTCTCCATAGCAAAATCCTTTGATTTCTCAATATCTTCCTTGATTCCAACAGAGTTTTGATCGATTTCACTGCAGAGTTTGTCAACCAAGAAAGAGAGGCACTGGATCAGCACTCAGCAAGTAGCCACTTTACAAGACTTGAAGTAGACAGAACATAAACATGTACTTACTTGACCATCTTGAGCATATTCTCCATTCCCATCTGAACTTGCTGTGACATTTCTGCAATTGCGTTTGTTTTCAACATAATCAGGACATGGCTAAAAATCTATATACACATTGTTCAAAAACATTGACTTGTGATCTCAAATCCATCCACTGAATCTAATCCATGAAACATATAAACCTTTAAACGACTTATGTTTTTTTGCTCATGCAATTGAACAAGACAAAGAGTTAAAGGATAGTGTATCGAGAACATACAGAATTCGCAAAATAGGCACAACATTGACTTGTAATCTCAATCTACCCACTGAATCTAAATTCATGAAACATTTAATGATAAACCTTCAAAACGACTTATGGTGTCTGCTCATGCAATTGAACAAGCCAAAGAGTTAAAGGATAGTGTATGGAGAACATACAGAATTCGCGAAATAGACACAACATTGACTTGTAATCTGAATCCACCCACTGCTCTAAATCCATGAAACGTTTAACAAGGTAAACTAATGCAATTTACATAAGCCAAAGGGTTAAAGAATAGTGTATCAAGAGTATAACAAAATATAACAACTACGAGATTCCAAAATTGATCAAACCAACGATAATGCACATCTTTTCATTCTAAGTATCACCTACAGATCTAATTTCGAAAGAAGCAACTAACAATGGCTGATTCTAATACATATCTCGATTCCACAGTTGGATTATAGCTTTTTTAGCACAAAAAGAAGTGCGAATTCAAGTTAAGATCAAGCGATTAAGCCAAGAAGTAAACACAAACTCGTTAAATACCAAAGCATAGAGCATTTGATTTCAAGGTTTTCAGAAACATGACATCGGAACTCAAGCTAAATCCTGATTTCTAGGTCAGTTCGAAATTCGAATTTGAATGAAAACGGATCAGAGGAGAAGAGGGAAAAAACAAACCGAAGACGAGAGACGCCAGATCCGATTCAGCTTGCTGACCAGGAGATTGATGAGCAACAAGCTGAGCATCACTGTGAGATGGTGATTCCGCCATTATCGCCGAGCGAGATAGAGAGATTTCAAAGCGAGAGAGAAGCGACGAAACGGATTTATTTTTGAGACTTGTGATTTTGGCCTTTAGAGTTCAGAGCAGCGAAACAGTTTCAAATATTTTCAAACTCCTTTCTCTTTTCAAGTATTTTAAAATCATACTATTAAAATAGCTAAAATCATACATTCATATTGCAGATGGATGCTTAATGTGCAAAGAAGAAAATGAAACACTTAATCATATTCTGTTTCAGTGTCCCTTGGCTAGACAAGTTTGGGCTTTGTCCCCATTGCAGTCTCCTTGGAATGGGTTTGGGGATTCAATTTTTGCTAATATGGATCATGTGTTACATTCTTCTCAGAAGCAAGACAGTTCTAAGCGGTTGAGAACAGTAAGTCCCTGGATCATGTGGGTTTTATGGAAAACAAGAAATAAATGTCTTTTTGAAGGTATAAGAACCATGTCTCAGGAGATTGTTACCAAAGCTTATGAGGATTGTAAGCAATGGAGTTTAGCACAGAGAAATGGGCTCTCTTCTGATTTTACACAGGTTAAACAATGGATTCCTCCAAAATCTGAAGAACTTAAATGCAATATTGGATTTGCATGGTCAAGACCTTATCAATTGGCTGGTGCATCATGGGTGGTTCGTAATGCTATGGGAGAAGTTTTGCTGCATAGTCGAAGATCATACTCTCAGGTACATTCTTTGTTTGATGCAAAAATTAAGAGTTGGGAATGGGCTCTAGATAGCATGAGGCATCATCATTTTGATAGAGTTACATTTGGAGCTTCCTCTCATGATATTATTCAAGCCCTCAATAAACCAAGAGATTGGCCGATCATGATTGGTCATATAGCAGAGTTGTTAAGTTTTACTAAGGAAAAAACAAATTGGTTTATGATGAGGGAATCTAAACAGGGGAATAGAGGTGCTTTTGAGATAGCTAAGAGTGTGATTACTGGAAGAAGACTGCAATCCTATGTGTCAAGAGGTTATCCGCAGTGGCTAAGGACTCTTTTTGATGAAGAAAAGGTTATGTAGGGGAGAGTTGGATGTCGTTTTGAGTCAGTCCAAATTTTAGGATTTTCTTTAGACTTTAGTCAAAGTTAGGTTTTTTATAAATCTTATCTTCTATATAATTACTCTTGGGTTACTATTTATTTTGTTTGTTTCTGATTTTATTAATATATTTACTTAATCATCTTAATTTTCGTTTTTCACTCTTTTCAACCTTCTTTGACTTCTTTTTTCACTTTTACGAGAGTTTAGGTTTTTGTTTTTATCTCCTATGTCTATATATATTTTGGGTTTGTTGGTGTTTGGCTTCAACTCTCTCCTTAGCTCTCAAAACCTTTCTAAAAACATGTCGGATGAGCTGTGGGATGAGCTTCAACACTTGGATTTGGGTAGAAGTGATCCAGAACTGTTTATTCCTCGTGGGGTGTATGCAGTTGCTGCTGTTCAAAATCGTCTTAGTCTGATTGCTAGGCCCCTGAATCCAAGAGCTCAAAATCTATTTACGGTGGTTGCTTCTTTACCAAGAACTTGGGGTCTTGCGTCCAGAGTGCATGGAAGGGTCTTGGATGGGACTTTTGTGCAATTTCTCTTTCAATCTGAGGCTGACCTTAACTCAGTACAAAGAAGAGCACCGTTGGTCTTCAATAATTGGTTAGTGGCTTCACAAAGATGGGTGGACAGACCTACTGCGGGCTTTCTGACTACAATAGACTTATGGGTACAAATCAGAGGTATTCCCCTGCAGTATATTTGTACTGGAACTATCACTTTGATAGCTGAAAGACTAGGGGAAATAATTCTGGTTGATTTTCAAGAAGCTACTACTTCTCAGATAGCTTACATAAGAGTCAGAATTAGGATGGGTATCTCAGACAGGTTTAGGTTCTTTCAAAGAATCCGTTTTGAGGAAGGAGAAAGTGCCTTAATAAGATTTCAATATGAGCGTCTGAGACGAATTTGCAGTAATTGCTTAAGGACAATAACATTAACAAACTTCTTCCCGTTTTCTTATACAGTACAAGTGCTTAAAAACGACATGCATTTCTCTGGTTCCGTGGTACAGTAACAAAACTATTGTTTCGTTTCTTCTTATATTATCACCGTTGATCTAACGGGATTCATCTCACCTCTTCATCATCATTGTTACGAGGTGGTCTCCATTTACGCTTATGAAGCTCACTCCTTTCGACTATTGTCTGAGACTTGAGCTTCTTCTCTTCTTCAACTTTTGTTACTGTACCACGACAATTCTGATGACTGGGCTTTTTATCCTTAATCTGTCTTCTACTGCAACTGCACCTTTTAAAACTTTCCAAAGGAAGACCTTAATCTTTGGAGCTGTTGTAATACTCCAGATACTTTGAAAAAGAGGATTCAAAGATGGTTGTGCATTAGCTTCTCTGAAGAGCTGAGAATGAGTTTGTCTACTGATGGCCTCATAACCAGATTTTGATGTGTACATTCCATTGCTTGTTCCAGACCAACAATAGAAGTCAGCTAAACTCACCACCGGTCGCTGTTGTAAGATTAACTGAACATCTTTCCAAGGAAATAAATCTCTAAGCATATTCAAGTTCCAGTTCCTAGAAATAGGATCAATAATCTGACTCACTTTCAATGTAATATCCATCTGTCTCTGAAGATTCATAGGTCTTCTATTTTGCCCATCAAACAACCATTTGTCAATCCATACATAAGTATTCTCTCCATTTCCAATCACTCTTCTCAGTCCTCGATTTAATAATTCCCGGCCAAATAATATACTCTTCCAGGCATAAGAGGGTCGAGTTCCATTGGTTGCATTGAGAAAATCTGTATTCAAGAAGTACCTGCTTTTAAAGATCTTATAAAAAAGACTCTCCTTATCATTAAGCAAACGCCAAGCTTGTTTGGCCAAAAGAGCTTGATTAAAGCATTGTAGATCTTTAAAACCAAATCCTCCTAATGACTTAGGCAAAGTTAATCTCTGAGCGTCAATCCAATGAATTTTCCGGTTGTTTTGCATTGTATTCCACCAAAAGTCCATCATCACACTGGTCAGCTTTGTGCATAAACTTTTAGGCAGTTTAAAGCATGACATAGTATAAACAGGGAATGCCATAGCAATTGATTTTAGCAATACCTCTTTACCACCTTGAGACAAAGTCTTAGCATACCAGCCAGTCAGTCTTGATTGTAACTTCTCTTTGATGAATCCAAATAAGGCCTGTTTAGAACCACTCAAACATTCAGGTAGACCAAGATATTTCCCAGAACCTCCTTCTAACTGAATTCCTGACCTATGCTTGACCCACATCACAGATTTTTCTGTCCTTATCGTCAACCTTTACAAGGTGTAAGGTTTGATGGTGGTGAGGATTCAGGATCGGGACAGGAAAGAGTTGTTTGGAGAGATAACATCCATAGATCAGACATGAATTCTCAATCCCAAAATTCGGATATGTCGTTTCCTCCTCCTGTTTCTCCTCCTCCAAGAGTGGATAAACCTCCTTTGAATGCTGATGAGCTTGCGGCTGCTATTCCTTACTTCCATCCTTCTCTTGCAGTACCGACTCCTCAACATGCTGGTAGAGGTCATCAAGGTTCAACTGCTTCCAACAGTCCTTTATCAAATCATGGATTTCTTTCAAGAACCTCAAGACACTTTGAAGTTGGAGAATCTTCTAAGAAAAATGAAGATGGAGAAGCTTCTCAGAGGATAGGATTGAATGAATCTCCTAAGCGCAAATCCTATGGTGATGGTAAAACAGAAAATGGTAGCAGTAATCACAAGAAGTTTCATGAGCCTAATGATGGAGGGATTCTGAAACCTCCAAAGAAAAGATAAGTCTTAACACTCTAATAATTCTGTCAGTTGGTTTTTTGGAAAATGCTGTTAGGTTCTATGCTTTGATGCAAACAGCAAAATGATGAATAAGGGGAAGTGATCCTTGGAACTCTTTTGGTAGATCATTTCCGGAATTTCACAGAGAGGTGAAATCTTTAGTTTTTTATAGACTTGGGTTGATTATCGTATCCATTCGATAATCTGATGTTGTATGCTTAAGCAAGTCTTGTACCGTGTGTTTGTGGAAGCTTCCACTTTTGTAACAGTGAACCTTGTACTTTGAGGTTGTATAATATATGATAACACTTATGGGAAAAAAAAAAAAAAAATAGCTAAACACAACACAACCAACAAAAAAAGGAACTTTATTCAAAATGCAACCAGTAATTTAAAAAATGCTAAATATATATAGATGATCTTCAACAGGACTAATCAAAATGATTTTATTCATACATTCGAAAAATTAAACGTTTTGTGTACTCCCAAATGCAAAAGGTACAAAACTCCCACAAGTTCAAATTTGGGATTTTTATTATCAGATTAAACGAAACTACTCAATAGAGCCGCAGAATTACAAAAGGAGACGAATCCTAAAGGAAACTAACACCAAGGAGACCCAGACTTAGTGAACAAGAGACGACCCAGAGAATATTGAAGAAATGAGTGAAGAGATAGACTCGAGAGACTAGTCCTACGGTGAAGGAGCCAAATGACACTATTGGTTCAAGTGAAAGCTCTTAGATGCATCTGATAGCAAACAAACTTCAAAACGCCATGTTCGATAAAAGCCAAGCTTCAGCCTCGGGTTTGGCGAGTGTTGTATGATTTGCAGTTTGGGCATTTCTGAGCCACCACATGGTACTTTACCTCCGATTTTTTCCCACAGTCGTTGCAGAGAATCTGCACCTGTTTTGTCCACCGTTAAAAAGACTTTTAGTTCTTGGTTCGAGGATAATGTGTAACTAAGTAAGTAAGTGCGTACTGACCATTCTGTTCTGGTATGGTTCTGGCATTGGTGTAGCCGCAATCTCCATGTCAAATTTCTCCCACACCTTTGACATGTCGCATACGGATTTTGAGCAAAGTGGGCACGCATATCTGCAGGCATAATTTAGAGTTGTCAGTTTATATATACAATAACAACATTTGAAAACAGGACACAAGCCCCTGAGTTGTTTATGTACTTACTGGTAATGATCTCTCATTTCCTCCAAGCACTTCTGATGGATTGTGTGTCCACATGGCAAAACCGTCACATCGTTCCGTGATTCAAACAGGAACTGGAAGAAAACCAGCCAAAACAGTTTTTGTTAACAAGGGACGCTCATGTTTACAGTGGAGAAGTAGAACAAAACCAACAATAAGCAATACCTCAAAGCAAATGGGGCAGTCGTGATGCATTGCTCCTTCAACACAAGGGTGACTGTTCTTGAGGAGGATTGAATAACAACAGCCTGGTTTGGGAATCAGAGAGCTGGTTAGATTGTACAAATCAACAAATATAGCAGTGCCCAATCTTGAAATTTGAGGTTATCTGATGCAGAAGATGGCTTACCACACTTGTAACAGTGAAAGAAATTTTCACGTCCTCCAATTCTGAAACAAAAGTAAGATTTTAGTTATGAACAAATTTATAGTGTGTGGAGTAAATCAAACATGTTGTATGTTAGAGAGGAGTCCAAGAATGTACCTGCAAATTCCACACCCATCGCAGTGGTACTGTTTTTTAGACGTCTGGAAACAAGATAGCAACATAATGGTTAACCAGGAACAATAAAAAAAAAAAGGCCTGGAAAACTCAAGGCCTAGTATGTAGCATGAGAAAAAGGAAATGGATACAACAAAAAATCTTAGCAATAAGTCCTCCTCGGAAACTTACATCATCATCGTAGAGCTTGCAGACTTTACAGAAGTACTTCCCCATGCACACTCCACAATGGATACAAATTTGGCCCACCTGGTACCAGAGAACAAAGTTAAGAAAATGTCTGATTACTAAACGCAGCAAAAGTCCAGAGAAAGTATAAGAGTTAAAACATACCTCTTGTTCAGTACCACAGAGTAAACAGATAACCTGTGACGAAGAAGATAGAGATCTTGTCAATAGGGAATCGAACATAACATAATAAATTCCGAGCAACTAAGATATATAGACTACTTTACCTGTTCAACTTGGTGGCGAGGAATATCATGCCTCTGCTTCTGATCTACATTTATGTTGTTCTGATTCAGAGATATGATTACAAGAGTCAGTATACAGATTTTGGAAAAAATAGCAGTTACAAAAGGCAGTTTCCTGAAATCTATAACTTGAAAAAAAGAACTCTACCTTCGCCTCATTATGACAGTGATGGCAACCAAAGATCTCATTACAGCAAGGAGCTCTAATGCAACACCTTCTTCTGTAATGTGGACATCTGAAAGCACATGGGGAAATTAATCCAAGAAACAAGCTCAATGCTAAGAATTTATAAATAGGGAATAATACTTACCCATGCTCCATTAGTCCTCTACCAAGGACTTTGTTTATTAATGACTCTGCTGTTACCCTTTCCAGAGTTGACGATTCAGAGTCTTCATTGACTGAATGAGGGTGCAAATTACTTGACATTTCACCCTTCTCTTGGTCAAACATCTGCGGTTGCTCAGCAAAATGGTTGAAATATACGTCTCCCATTACGAATTATCTGTCAGTGATATTGGCAGACACTGCTAGCTGGTGGAAAGCTTATGAAACCTGCAAGTAAGAATATAGTTAGAAAATATATTCCTCATTTCGAAAACATTATCAGTCACCTGAAAATCCAGCAAAAAAACTCGATGAACTGTTGCTTCCATCTACATTGCACCACACCAATCCAATCAGCACCAAGACAATCCATTTTTGAAACAGCTCCAATCAGCTTTCTCCAAGAGGAACAATCACCAAAACAAGATCTACAAGTATCCTGTTAAACAACTAAAAACAGCCCTCTTGGTTGATGGAGCTTTCATAGAGAAATAAAAGCTTAGCACATTGAAGTGCGCTCACTTCAGTCCTTCAATCTTGGGAAATCTATCCAGTTTAAACCGGATATGCCCAACCTATCGTAAAAGCAAGGCAACACCATCAAACAAGGTTTTGGACTGACATAAACATGGGAATAACCGGGTTTTAAAGAGATGGGTTAGTGTCCAAAGAGGATAGACCTACCTCCCACTGCCACTTTGCACCAATATTCTTGAGTCAACATACGAATCAGAAATTTCTTAAAGGAAACAAAATCCTGAAGGGCACTCCTAGTTTACGGAACCCCATCTTTAAAGCTGGCCTGTTTTGTCTTGACCTAAATGGTAACCCCATAATCAAAGGAAATAAAATCTTCTGATGTCATTACCCGGAAAAAATCCACTACCAAGTTCACAAGATCCGCATGCTCGAGGGAGCAAAAACTTCATCAAGGACAACAACGAGATATGCTCTAAGGAAAGTCAATACGGGGACCATAGCCGAGATAAGCAGACTACAAACAAAGTGAGCATTCATGCCGCTTTCTTCAAGATTAACTATGCGGACCCTCTGTTATTCCACCTTAGATGAGATGACAAAACAAAGAGCACTCTTGGCCGAATCAGAGATGATAAACAGATGATTAAAGAGTTTCATGATCAAGGGAAATGCTAAGGCAGAATGAAGATTGCACACGTCAAGGTTAAGGAAGAAACAGCAACTAAGTGGGACAGAAAAGAATCGAAATTTTCCACTAGATCAACAACAAGGATGGTTTCTCAGTGACCTATATGTCTCATTCTCATGGATCCTTTCATTGGTAGACCAGAAGATACAAGAACCAAGCTCTCAGACTCACCTTGAATCTGACTTTTACTCTCCTGAAACAGCACCTAAAAGCCCTCCTAAAGATACCAAAGACCCCCCACAAGAACTGCCCTGCAACCTCAAAAAGACTGCCTCATGGTCATGGATTTGTAACAATATAATGTCTTCCTTAACATCGTCTAAATCTTCTGGAGAGATAATTAGATCAAACTCAAGAGTCTAGATTACGTACGGATCGTTTCTTCTTCTGAAATCTATACATAAACCTAATCGATCAAACTAAAAGTGTACAAACAAAAATCAACCACACATTCAGAAACACAGACATTACCAAGAAAAAAAAAGCCAAAGAATGAAGAAGAATCTAAAAATCTAAATCAATGAAACAACGTAAACAAGATAACGAACTTTCGATCCGACGATTCTTCACGATCAGAATTTTCAGAGACGCTAAATTCTCCGGCGATAATTCTCGCGAGCTCCGAACCAAGAAATCTCCGATTGAAACTGACGACGAATATAATCGAGTTTTTTTTTTCAGGTGACGAAATTTTGAGTAAAGAAAAAAAACGCGTCTGGGTTTTTATAAAGGAAGGAAAATTTTCCAGATACTTCGAATTTTGCTTGTTCTTATTTTGGGGAAAGAAACGTCAACCAAATTATTTTTAATTAGTTGACAGCGAAATATCTAAATACCAATATTTATTATTTCCATAATTACATAGTTTAATTAATATTTCAACAACTGTTTATACAGATGTCACCAAAAAATTTCAACTTTCCAAATGTCTGAGATCATATTTTCGATGAATGCTTTATTAGTTACCAAATTCTTAATCATACAATTAATTTTTCTTTTTTTTGAAATATATTTGCCTTAAGAATGCAATAAAGTTTTAAATATGGAAATATTTTACGTGTTGGACTTGATTAACTTGTTGCGGAGACACAGGTGTGTGTGACCTGGCAACTAAATGATTGGAAATATCTAATTTATAGTTTTGATTCTATGGAAATCTTTCATTAGTTTACTTACAAAACGTTTTGGCTAAGAATCATCAATCTTATCTCTATGAATGATGTAGACAAGCTATCAATTTCTTCAATCCTTCCAATATTCAGAATAACACATTTTAGTCCAACGTCCAATTTTTAGAATTTTGACTCAAAAAAATATCTAATCTCTATCTAATCTCTTAGGCCTGGGCGTTCGGGTACCCGTTCGATTCTGGTCCGGTTCCTATTCGGTTCCGGTTCTTTCGGTTCTAGAATTTAGGATCCATATAGGAACCAAACAATTTCGGTTCGGTTCGGTTCCGGTTCCGGTTCTTTCGGTTCTAAAGTTTAGGATCCATTTGGATTTTTTTTCAGATATTTTTAGGGTATTTTGGATATTTTCGGATATTTTTGAGTATTTTTTGTATATTTTAAGCATTTTTTGATATATTTTCTAAATATTTGTTGGTATTTCGGGTATTTTTGGCTATTCGATATAAAAATAACTAATATTTTCTGATATAAACTCATATTTCGGGTATTTTTTGGTACCCGAAATATTTCGGTTTGGTTCGGTTCCGGTTCCGGTTCTTTCGGTTCTAAAATTTAGGATCCATTTGAGTATTTTAAAATTTCGGTTCGGTTCCGGTTCGGTTCTTTTTGCTTCGGTTCCGGTTCGGTTCTTGTGGTTCGGTTATTTTGTCCAGGCCTATAATCTCTACTCGAAATAATATTCCAACGGAAATAATAAGTACAAGAAATAAAATAAAAGAGAATATGCCATAAAGATGTCAAAACCTAAAAGAAAAAAAAAACAATTTACTCCATAAAATTTTATTTTCTAAAAATACGAATTGCACTTGAATCATTTATATTAGGGTTTAGTGTTCAATCTACATGTGGTTTAACAAAAGAAAAAAAAAATGAACCACGCTACATTTAAACCTCATTTCACATGAACAACTACCTCATGCATAAATTCATTTCCTTGTGAATGGTAACATAATGATTAATGCATATCAAATAGTTTAACCACACTGACTCGTTGATCCGTGCCAAATGGTTGCTACATTTGTTCTTATTAATGAATATGAAAAAACAGAGACCAAAAAATTATATAAAAGTTAAAGTTAAACAAACACACACACATGCAATCTAAAAAAAGAGACAAGTTTCCTACACTTGGTGTCCTAAAAAAATTTGAGCTTTGTAGTCTCCACTTGTAACACTCATTTGGTTCCCACTAGATATATCTCATCTGGCTTTTACTTTCGACATCTAAACAATCTCATTCTCATCAACACATGCGCTTTCTAGTTTTTCTACACATAGATAGATCAGTTCATAGACGGCGCCGGTGACAATGGTGGTGGAGGCGGTGAGTATATCGGCGGCGGACATGGTCTAGCCGGAGGCGGTGGTGACAATGGTGGTTGAGTAGGAGATGGCGTCGGTGCCAATGGTTGCGAAGACGGTGATATTTGAGACGGAGGAGGAGAAAAACACGAAGAGACAGGATTACACTTGAAAGAGTCACAATCTACAGGTTTCGACAAAAACATCTTACACTCCATCATCGATCTTTGGTCTCTCACGTCCTTAAGACAATTCATAGTATAATTATAATTCTCTAGATAACGACACGTGGCTGGTTCTCCGGTGAAATAGTTAGACCCGTATTTAAACTCTCTTAGCTTCTCAAGCGAACATAGCTCCTCCGGTATTAAACCGGAGAGCATGTTACGTTCAACGTTCAACACCTCAAGATTCTCCATCTGACCCATCGACTTTGGTAACTCTCCGACCAACCAGTTATAACTAACGTCCAAAACGGTGACGTTTTGAAGTAAACCCATGTCATTAGGTAGACAAGATTGTAAACCGTTATCCATTAGAATGATCTCGTTTAGAGTCTTACCCATTTTACCAAAACTCGTCGGTATACATCCTTCAAACCGGTTTGAGGCTAGAACTAGAACCGATACCGGAGAATTCCCCATGTTAACCGGGATTTTATTAACGAACCGGTTACTATTAAGGAACAGAGCGTCTAGATCTTTGTCGAACAGAGATTCTGGTAATTTACCTTCGAACTCGTTGTACCGGAGATCGAGATACTTTAATTTCGGTAAACCGATTACCACTTCCGGGAATTTACCAGCGAACCGGTTATTACTAAGATCAAGTTCGAAAAGGAGACTCAACTGCGAAAACCCGACCGGGAGAGTACCACAAAACCGGTTCGAGTTAACATGAAACAGAGCAATATCGGTTAAGAGGCCAAGCTCTTCAGGGAGGTGACCAGCGATATCTCCATGGTTTAGATCAATGCCGGAGACAGTTTTAACCAAAGGGTCGTCGAGAGATGAGGAACATACTATTCCGTTGTAGTCGCACACACGTGATCCGAACCAGTTAGCCGTTAGATTCCACGGGTCAGAGATCATGGCACGTTTCCACGCTTGTAACGCCACGTAAGCTCTTTCGAGCCGTACGTTTTCGAAGATTAGGTACGGAGGTATGGTTATAGGGTCGTCTCGGGTGTACAAAAGTTGCCGGGAACCACCACGAGCCACGGCGGCGGAGATGGAGAGTAAGACGACGGTGGTGAATGATAATAAGGTCGGTTGATAATAAATCCTCATCACACTTTAATGGAGTTTTGTGTTTTTGCTAATCACTCTTCTTCTTCCTCTTCTTTTATTATTTTTTTGGTTTTCTTTGAGATTTGAATCTGTAAAGAGAGAGAGAGAGAGATTAGCAGTGAAAGGTAGTGATTCTTATTATTAGATGTGAGTGTAGAGTAAAACATTTGTATCGCTATTTTTAGTAGATTATGTAAAACTGTTTTTTCCATTACAGCATTGTGGATTTGTGGTTGACCGAGAATGTCTAAAAAACTGTAATGTTTTTTCTTTGTCATTTACAATTTTATTACAACGACACGACGAATAAGTAAATAAATAACACGTTTAGTTTTAGGGAGAAAAGACCACCTATTATTTTGTAAATTAAGATTTATTTTGAATTGACTTGGCAAATTTGAAATGAAATTGTCCCACTAGTTTAGCGTCTGAGATTATGCTAATAGAACATTAGTATGTGGTGATGCTAGCTTTTAGGGGTGAAACTTCTGGGGTTTGTTTGTTACTAAGTTACTATCTACAAATTACTTTTTTCATTGTCAACCTTACTATAATGTTAAGTTAACCGAAATGACTGCTAAACCAAATCTGAGGATCACAACTTGCAAAAGAGGAGTCACCATAACATGATATAGCATTCGGAAACCAACTCAACATAAAATAGAAAAAGATCTAAAATAAACATAGAACAAAATCAAAACCAAAAGATAAAACTAACGGTGTGATTGGTAAAAGTTTTTAAAGTAGATGTGAGTAAATGAGTAGAAAGAAAATTCTTCTAGGTTCACCATATTCAGAGTAATTTCTTTTTGTTACCAAACGTTTTTTGTTTCCAGCAAAAGCATTTATTCTAAGTAAAAGTAGTCACAACGTTTACTCTAAAACAGTGGATCCTACAAATTTTTAAGCTAAATTAAGATGAATTATACATGATATATGTTCGCCCCTGAGCTAAAACCAACAAGTTAAAATTTTAGCCGCTAAGAAACATTGACAAGTTTACGATATCATTTTGGAAATATTGGTTGTGGTATAGTGGTTGAACATGTTTAAAGGTGTTTAAGTTTGAATCTAAAGTTTGTAATTCTTGTGATTTTTTTTTTCTTTTTATATTGTGTTTGTCAATATGCCAAAATCATTCTATTGATGCTTTAAGTCCATAAATACTCCGAGTTGGCCCTGTATAATGTTAATGATTCATCCAAGTATGTATTTTCTATCCCAAACATCCGTGATTAGATTGGGTCGATCATGTAATTAAAAAATTATTTGTTTAACGTTTATGATTGTAGTTTAAAATATCTTAAAAATTATATAATCATGAATGATACACAAGAAATTAAATATTTTCAGTTTTATTTATGTTACATCTCGTTTTCTCAAAAGCTTATCTTAAATGAAATTGCATTCAAAAGAAGTCTATAAATTTTGCAACCCTTTTTAATAAGAGATTTTGGAAATAACATTAAGTTTCTAGAGGAGCTAGTAAGACCGATGGTGTTCGATGTGGTTTTGTATCTCATAAATCTTGCTCTACACTAGCCAACTTCGGAGAATTAACTTGGTAAAGGGAACTCGCATCGTTCACATGATTTGGTTCGTGAGGTTCCATTATGGGAAAACTCATGGATTTGATCGACAAGTCACTCTCACATGACGCAAGGGGAGTATGTGATTGAGGACTTTGAGATTCTACTATTGACGGCTCATATTCGGACCTCCATTGAAAGGCTTCTAGTATTAAGAGTCTAGCGCAATTTTGCGTTTTCAAGATGCAATTACCCTTCTTTTTCAACAACCTATCGAGAAAGAACTTTAATATCTTCATCGTTTTGGTTAAGTGGATGAACCGAAATTTGTGCACCACAATTTATGCTTCCATGTTTTTAACTTTTTTGTTATAGAACCATTTGTATAGTTTTAAAATTTTCAATTGTAAATATTTTTTTATTTTCTGTGAAATATTTACATTGTTAGCAAAAAAAAAACACTTTGTTTTGAGGTTTTTCGTTGCGTAGTCATGTAGTTTATAAAGGTAGAGGATAAATTTTTAAAACATAGATACTTTTGAGGGGTTTTACCAAAAACAAATCCTTCTTCGTTCCTATGTGTCATTAGGAATAACAATGACCAGCATCATTTTATCGGGATAACAATGACCAGGTCAAGGATAAGATAATATACGCTTCCAAACAGACCCTAAAATGATGCTGACCTTCAAGTAAACGATTCTTCTCTTTGTGCATATAAAAGTCCATTATTGATCGAAAGAGTCGTTTTCTTTCCTCTCCCCACTTTTTTAGCGTTTCTTAGATCTCTCTCTCTCTCTCACCATTGTCTTCTTCTTCTTCAACGACGCTTTCGGATTTTGTCCTCTCAGGTAATCTCAATTTCTCTCCTAGGTCTCCGGCGATCGTTGACGTGATCGCAATCATCTCGCCTTCTTCTTCGTTTCGAATCCGTTTCTTTCGATCGTGTTTCTGTTTCTTTAGTCTGTTGATTTCTTCGATCTATGTTGATTTGATAACGCGAATCGTGTTTTGATTGATCGATCATGAAGTATAGAGGCTTGATTAGTGTATATCTATCTCCGTTAGATTCATGATTCAACTATGTTTGTGAAGCCTTAGAATCGTAGAATCGATGCGTTAGGGTTTCGTTCTTCGTTTCTGTTTTAAGAGGTTGTGTAGATTGATTTTGATCTGTACCTATGTCGTCACGAAGAACTAGATCAACGAGTTTGTGGCATCAATTTTGATTTACTGGTTAGGTTACGTTTCTTATTGATTTGGAATCAGTTTTGACTATTAGGATTGTGATTGTTAGTGTAGATTTTGCAACAGAAGTCATCGATTTGATCTCGTCTTTCGTTTGTTGAATTTTGGTAGTGGATCTCACTTAGCAATGAAGTCAGGAAGATCATCTACATTGAATCCTTACGCAGCAGCTTACGTACCACTCTCGAAAAGAGAGGGTTCTTTGGGTGATACAAAGCCTGCCACACATCATCACGTGCAGCAGCAGCAGCAGCAACATCATTATGTAGCTCATGGTTATGGAGTCCAAGGGATGGGAAGTTATCCTGGCTCTCAAATGTCGCCTAAGAAGTCCTCTGACATGGTATACAATCATCAGTTGAAGGATGAGGATTTGGAGATGGACATGGATATTGAGTACCTTTTAGTAACATTCGCTGGTCTTTCACATGAGTCTATCAATGATGTTTACTTGGCTAACAGTTGTGATCTTGATGCAACTATCGAAATGCTGAATCAGCTAGAGGTAATTCATTCTTAAGTCTTCCTACAATAGATTTGTTGATTTTAAGTTTACAGTTTTGATAATACTTATGCTTAGTAATGACTGTTGGTGTTCATTCGCACAGATTTACAGTACTGAAGCTCAGGAATATCTCCCCGACACACTGGACATTGGCGATGTACCTGAAACCATCACCGAACCTTCAACCTCGACAGTTTCGAAACAAAAGAATGAAGCGAGTGCATCATCATCCTCGGGTATCCACAACGCCCCTGTATCCTCTTCCTGATTCAATGAGTCCTTAAAATGTGAAGTTTTTTTCTCTTAAGTTTCTTGCAATGGATGATGATATTCTTAGGAGATCTCTTTCTATATTTTTCCCACTTTGTTGCTGGGAAAAGAGAGTACAATGTATAGTTTTTAAAAAAATTCAGTTTGAGAATTGGGATGTTTCTTTTGTTTGTGGAGAAAAAGCTATGAATCAATTCTCTACTCTTTTGGCCATATAAGTCTTATCTCATTTGTTCATTTTGCTGCTCAATATTATTATCAAGTATCTCCTCTTTACTGATAATCGTATCAATGTTATGAATTAGTATACGTTGCTAATATCCGTTAATTATGTTGGAACAATCGACATATTTGATATGTTAGAATCCTTTTTTTCCCAGTAATCACAGATTCGAATCTTCTTCATTATAGACATAAGACAATGCGTTTATTATTACATAATTTTTCTACTTAATGGGGTAATAAAAGTCAAAACTGGTTGCAAGTTTAAACGGATGTAATCTGGAACTATTTTGCCTGTGGCTGTGGGTCTGTAACTGTAATGCCTTAAAATCTATCTGAAGCTACTTTTGCGGCCTTGATAATGATTCCAATTCTTCTGCATGCTTAATTTTTTTTTTTTTTTTTTTTTTTTTTTTTTTTTTTTTTTCTGCATGCTTAATTTGTTTATATAGTCTTATCTTTGATCGAAAATTATGAGTTTATGTGACATGATGTTTACGGAATTGTTACCCTTCGTTTTCCATTTACTTGTGTGCTCTTAACTTAATGTTTGTTATCTTCTGCCATGTAACTTTGTTGTGATGACTATAGAATTTTGCCGCTTCTCTCTGGTGTGGCTGTATCTGAGGTTCTGATATTTTTCCAATATCTGTGACTAGGTACAATCCCTTAAGAATATAAAGTTTCTGATGAACACTACTTGTTTATTATATCTGGCCCGGATGGAATCTGAGCTCTTATATTGCTCCCACCTAAATCGGAGTCTTGTTAAGTCATAGCGTACTTACAACCTCCTCCTTTCCTAGCTATTTGTTGTATTCCTAGGCTACAACATAAATATCACCTATTCTGAAGTATATATACAATGAATGAACTCAAACATAAGAAAAAAAGACCCATGTAGTCTTCATTTAAGAATATTACTTTTAAGTTTGCAGCAACTTGAGGGCTATTGTGAATGGGAAATGTTGTTTCAAATTGTGTTTTCATCGTGGATTAATTTGATGCAATAGTTTAGCTGACATAAAGGTAAATGTCTAGGTATCCTGGGATCGTCTGAAAAAGTTGGCAAAGTATCAAATGTTGACTCACCCGCTACGGGAATATTTCTCCCTAATAGCTAATGATAATAACAATCACTATTTTATTTTACTTTTGTTTTTGTTGATTTGTTCCACTATTCATTATTGAATTTCTTATTAAAAATAAAAATTGAGATTTGTCATAAATTGGAGGTAAACGTAAAAAATCCAAGACCAGACCAGCTAATATAAAAAAACTGAAACAATTAAATAAAACCAGAGCACTTGTCACGTCATGTATTTGCGATTTGGTACTCTGGTTCGGTTGGGGTTCAACTCCTATCAAAGGTCAGCTCTTCCAGGATAGCGAGGGAAGGGAATAACGTCTCTAATATTGTCCATTCCTGTAGCGAAGAGAAGCATACGCTCCAAGCCCAGTCCGAATCCAGAATGCTTCACTGTTCCATGACGTCTCAAGTCAATGTACCACTCGTATTGCTTAATTGGTAGACCCATCTCCTCCATTCTGTAGACCAGATTTTGCTTCATGAGAGATATCAAATAACCAAAATTAAACAGATTGGTTTCACTTTCACAAACCTTTCCATGAGGACGTCCATCCGTTCTTCCCTTTGGCTTCCACCAATGAGTTCTCCAACCTTATTTTACAGAGAAATAGATAACAATTTGATGTGCACACACAAAAAAAAGGATTCAACTTCAACTCGGTATTATGCAAAGATGATGAGCTTTATTACCTTTGGAACGAGGACATCGAAGGCAGCAACTGTCTTTCCATCATCGTTAAGTCTCATGTAGAAAGCTTTGATCTCTTTGGGGTAGTTATAGACAATAAGAGGCTTTTGAAACAAAACCTCTGTCAAGTATCTGTGATTGCAGACAACATTAGTAACCCTTTTCGAAATAGTTTTTAAGGATTATAGAAGAAGAAAGACCTTTCATGCTCAGATGCTAAGTCGATTCCCCACTCCACTTGGTTCTCAAATTTCTTTCCTTGAGCCACAGCTTTCTCAAGTAGCGTTATTGCTTCGGTGTATGTTACTCGACCAAACCCAGTCGAGGCAACCAATAGTAGCCTGTCAATGCAGGCTTTGTCGACATTCTTAGCCATAAGTTTCATGTCATCATCACACTTTTCAAGCAACGAATTGCAAATGTCTTTCACAAGTGCCTCTGCGCAGTTCATAGCCTCCTACAAACAAAAATTTTAAAGCTGTTACTGAGCGGCTATATGGCGACCAAAGAATAAATAAAAATCAAATGTTTGTTACCTCTACACCGGCAAAAGCTAATTCAACCTCAACCATCCAGAACTCAGCAAGATGCCTTGAGGTGTGAGACTTCTCAGCCCGGAAAGTGGGGCCAAATGTATACACATCACCCATACTGCAAGCATAGGTTTCGGCGTGTAATTGACCAGAAACTGTGAGGAAAGCTTGACGAGCAAAGAAATCTTGGGAATAATCAATTTTTCCATCCTTTATAAGTAATCCAGGCTTAAGCCTTGACCTCTCTTCAACCTTAGCTAAAGTCTCCTTTGCTTCAGTGAGTTGAGCAACGGAAGCAGTAATCTCTTGCTTGCTTGCTTTGGCAGCTTTGAGTTGTGCTACAGCTTCACCTTTCTCCTTGACAATGAGCTTGGCAGCTTCAATGTCAGCCTCGGTGGGCCTCTCCAACTTGTCAGATTGGTTGATCAAGGTTGTGACTTGGAACATTTCACCAGCACCTTCGCAATCACTTGTTGTGATGATAGGAGTGTGAATGTGACAGATATCATGTTCATCACAGAAAAGGTGAGCCTCAAGAGTAATCTTACTTCGGATTCTTGTAACTGCTGCCATCTGTAATCACTCAAAAAATTTCAAGTCGAACACTTAACAAAGAAAACTAGACGAATCTCAATAGCAAGTTTTACCGTGGTGGTCCTTGCACGAAAATGAGTATAGTCTCTCAAATGCTCTAGAGTGAGCTTCGTCTTAGGAATCGGGTACGTAGCCGGATCCACCGTTCCCACATCAATCACCTTCTCGGCGCTAAGCTCAATCTTCTGCTTCGTAGCTTTACCTTCCGGAGGAATCTTCAAACATCCATCAACGGTCAGACAAGTTCCCGTCGCAACCAACTTGGAGACATCTGACACACAAGCATCCACCTTGACCTGAAGATTCGCTGCGCAGGATCCATCGTTCACCTCAAGAAAAGCGAAACTCCCTTTTCCTTGCTCCCTTCCCGTTTTAACCCACCCGCTAATTTCGACCTTCTCACCGGCAAGTCCAGCTCCACCGTCGGCTCGACCCAAAATCGATCGAATACGGGTCCTACTCGAAAACCGGGATTTCTGCACCGAGGCTCCATCCTTGTCCATTGATTTCGGCGGCCGCACCTTGTTCGTAAGGATTTATCGAATGGAAGACCTAAAATATTAGAGAAATAAGACAACTAAAAATAAGAAAATGGTAAAATATATATCATATCATATCTTACCATTATATTTATTGAGTGCACCTCTTATGAATCCAATAATATACTAAATTTTATATTAGCTTCAAAACCTACAAAGTTGACATTAGAAAAAAATTAGAACTCCAACAACTGTTCTAAAAACATTTGTTATGAAATTTACCAAATTTTGAAATATGATAGTTAGTGGAATTTGTGTCTTGTTATTTATAGGAAAACATGTGTATGTATGTTACAAAACAGTATTACAATTTATAATGATGCAAATGGAGTTTAATAGCTAAGTAATGGTTTTACTCATTAAACCCTACTTATATGCATTCATTTGAAGATTGACCCAAATTACACATGAGTTTAATTGTTAATAAATATTGTAATGGTTAGACTCATTATACCTCACTTATATGCATTTATTTGAAGATTGACCCAAATATTACACATAAATTTAATTGGTAATATATATTATATTAAAATATGAAATTTTAAGTGATCCAATAAGAAAAGAGTGAAACTTTAATCACAAAATCTAAAGTGTGACTTGTGTTTTATTGGTTATAGAGAAAAATTTATTTAAAAATTCTTTGTCAAGTAACCCAATAAGAAGAAAGTAAATGTTTTAAACTATTTAATTGTGGTTTGTTGTTTTCATTAAATTTGTTTACTATTGAAAAAAAAATGAATTGCCAAGTAACCCAATAAAAATAAAATAAAAGTTTTAAATTGTTTAGTTTGCAGTTTTCATTCTCCCAACAAAGTTAATGTGCAATTAAACCTCACTTTTAATAATAGTATTCATTTTTAATTGAAAACAACAATTAAATTTTACATTAAATACAAAATTAAACTTCACTTTTAATAATATTTATTTTTTAATTGTTAAATTAATAGTATTAAATTCCTACATTGAAAACTCCAATGGCAAACTTTGTGACGTATGCATATGAGAGTCATGATGAATATAGTAAGTCATGATCAATATAGTAAAATTGGAATTTTCCATCAACATATTCTACTATCATGCTTAAACCTAGATTTCTGAACATGTAATGTATGAGCTAAATATCCACCGAATAATATTCATTTTTTTATTGAAAACAACAATTAAGTTTTACATTAAGTACACAATTAAACCTCACTTTTAATAATAGTATTCATTTTTTAATTGAAAACAACAATTAAATTTTACATTAAATACAAAATTAAACCTCACTTTTAATAATATTTATTTTTTAATTGTTAAATTAATAGTATTAAATTCCTACATTGAAAACTCCAATGGCAAACTTTGTAATGTATGCATATGAGAGTCATGATGAATATAGTAAGTCATGATCAATATAGTAAAATTGGAATTTTCCATCACATATTCTACTATCATGATTCATGCTTAAACCTAGATTTCTGAACATGTAATGTATGAGCTAAATATCCACCGAAATTGAAAGACTAACCCTCATTGCTATAAATAGTAGTTTTTCTTTTAACCAACATTAAATTACATTGATTTTATAGGTATAATTATCCTTTTTTAAGTAAAAATTAAAAAGTAAATAATTTATGAAATATTTGTTTTAAGATCTGCGTCATTTAATTCCGGATCCGAATGGGTTATTTTAGATCCGAATGGGTTATTCTAGATCCGAATAAGATTAATCAATTTTTTAGTGTTTGGTTAGATTTTCAATAATATTTATGACTGATTTGTCCTCTGATCTCATATTTATTTTGCTCTGCAAAATTTTTAATACAATGGCATTACATATAAATAAGTGTCTTTTTATGTCTTCTATCAAAAAATGTTTCCCAATTAATAGTATAGATACAACATGAGTTTCAAATAGTGGATTAATGGTTGGTAGAATGACACTTTTATTTATTAGGTAGATAAATGTCAAAAGCCATTACACAGTCATTTTTTTTTTGAATGATTTTTTTTTAAAATGTGTATTTTAGGTCTCCTAATAGAGACAGAATTTATTTTGATTTTGATATAATAGAGTAAAAAATCGTTTGATTTGGTAACCATACTTTATTTCAAAAATAATTCAGCATATATAACGTTATTGAAAAACTATTTTAATGTTTTTTAATTAAAATAGTATAATTTGAAGTTTTTAGTTTAAATGGTGTATATAAGTTTGAAAGAAAGACATGTGTAAAATTGTATGTGTCAGCTTAGTAGAGCTTATGTTTTGTAGAACATTTCTTTACTATATAAGACATAATTTATTTTGACTTTGATATAATATAGTAAAAAATCGTTTGACTTGGTAACTATACTTTATTTCAAAAACAATTCAGCATAACGTTATTGTTAAACTATTTTTAATGTTTTTAATTTAAAGTAGTATTATATGATGTTTTTACTTTAAATGGTGTATTTAAGTTTGAAAAAAATATGTGTAAAAGTGCCACGTGTCAGCTTAGTAGAGCTTGTATTTTGTTGAACCTTTCTTTATTATATAAGATCGTATCAATGTTATGAATTAGTATACGTTGCTAATATCCGTTAATTATGTTGGAACAATCGACATATTTGATAATAACGTTAATGTTAGAATCCTTTTTTCCCAGTAATCACAGATTCGAATCTTCTTCACTATAGACATAAGACATTGCATTTATTATTACATAATTTGTCTACTTAATGGGGTAATAAAAGTCAAAACTGGTTGCAAGTTTAAACGGATGTAATCTGGAACTATTTTGCCTGTGGCTGTGGCTCTGTAACTGTAATGCCTTAAAATCTATCTGCAGCTACTTTTGCGGCCTTGTGTCTCTGTCTTGATACTATAATTAGAATTAATCATCTAATTACGTCCTTGTATATATATAAAAAAAAAAAATTAACAAAAAAGGAGAAAAATGAGGAAAATAGATTCCGTAAATTTCTGTGTTTTAAAGACCTGCAAAAAGCTGTCATATATGTATGATTAAGAACAATTAAGATCAATCTGTTTCAATAGAAAGAAAGGAAAAAAATAAAAATAATAACCAAGTCGGTGTGATCTTTTGTTTTTTTTTCCTCTTTCTACAATACAACAAAATTTCTTTTTTTTCATTCATTAGGTTTTTAGATACACAAAAACTTTCCATTATACATTAGTGATTTTGGAAGATCTGATTCTTTCTTTCTTCTGAGTTTCTTTTAGAGGAAGATTAGTTTTTAAAAAGATGGGTTTGGATTATTACGACATATTGAAAGTGAATAAGAACGCAACCGAAGATGATCTAAAGAAATCTTACAGACGATTGGCTATGAAATGGCATCCTGACAAAAACCCTAACACCAAAACAGAAGCTGAAGCCAAGTTTAAGCAGATCTCTGAGGCTTATGAGGCAAGTCTTGTTTTTTTTTTTTTTTGGTTGTTAATCTTCCTTTTCCCTTGTTCCATAAGAGATCCATTGATTTAGCTAATAATTTTAAAGTTAAAATATGGATGAGTTTGTTTTCTTGGGATATAAGCAAAATGAGGCAATGTTGTTGCATTGCTAACCAAAACATCCCACGATAAGTTGTATACCAAAAGATCGAAATTTATATACTTTATTTGCGCTTAAGAGATCTGACTAAAATTTGATTTGTTCCTAAGAATGAGTTTTTGTATTTTGTTTTGTGGGGAATGTTTCAGGTTCTAAGTGATCCGCAGAAGCGAGCGGTATATGATCAATATGGGGAAGAAGGACTGAGCGATATGCCGCCTCCCGGGAGCACGGGAAACTGCGGAAGAGCGGGAGGTTTTAACCCAAGAAATGCAGAAGATATATTCGCAGAGTTCTTTGGAAGTAGTCCATTTGGGTTTGGATCAGCCGGTGGTCCTGGGAGGTCAATGAGGTTTCAATCCGACGGAGGAGGAGGAATGTTTGGCGGATTTGGTGGCGGAAACAACGGAAGCGAAAACAATATATTCAGAACTTACAGCGAAGGCACTGCGCCTAAGAAACCTCCACCGGTTGAGAGCAAATTGCCTTGTAGCCTTGAAGAGTTGTATTCTGGATCAACTAGGAAAATGAAGATCTCTAGATCCATTGTTGATGCTAACGGGTAAACTTTCTTTTTACTTTGTATGTATCTTGATCTTTTTAGACTTCTTTCTTATGTTTCAAGAATGGTGGCAAAATGTTTTGTTCATTGGTGTTTCTTTGGATGGTGTAGGAGACAAGCACAAGAAACAGAGATTCTGACGATTGTTGTGAAACCGGGATGGAAGAAAGGGACGAAGATCAAGTTTCCGGACAAAGGAAATGAGCAAGTGAATCAATTACCAGCTGATTTAGTGTTTGTAATCGACGAGAAACCGCACGATTTGTTCAAGAGAGATGGGAATGATCTAATCACAAGCCGAAGAGTAACGCTTGCAGAAGCTATAGGAGGAACAACTGTGAATATCAACACGCTCGATGGACGGAATCTACCCGTTGGTGTCACGGAAATCGTAAGTCCAGGGTATGAGTTTGTGGTTTCTGGAGAAGGGATGCCAATAGCTAAAGAACCAAGAAACAAAGGCGATCTCAAGATCAAATTCGATGTTCAGTTTCCTGCAAGATTGACAACAGAGCAGAAATCCGCACTCAAGCGGGTCTTAGCGGGTTGAAGAACTGAGATCTTTCTTCTTGTAATCTGTACAAATCTTTGATTGTGTTGAATTCAAACTTATATGCTTAATAGACTCCATTATTCAAAGGTTTACAATTCTATCGAAACACTACAAAACAAAAAACAGCTGATGATGGAGAAGTCAATACACCTAACAAACTTTAATTACACAAACGCTTTCACAAAGATCAAAATCCTCTGTTCCTACGTGCACTGTACTGTTGTTGCCTAGGTGCGTTTTGACTGGCCTTCCATCCACTCGGTGGTCCCGCAACAGGTTGTTGTTGTGCTGGTGGTCTAGCCATGGCTCTGCTATATAATTGAGGACTCAAGTTAGGAGGTGGTGGCAGTTGAACTTGGTGGCCTGTGACTTGCGGTTGCCATTCAGGAATGTCATCGTCGTCATCATCCTCATGACCATCCCATGGTCGTTTACTACCACTACCTGCTGAATTTCCATATTTAAGAATGAGCTCCCTTACTTGATCCATAGACCGAGACTGAGGCGGTGGTTGAGGAGAAGAAGTAACCGGTCCACTAGAGGAACCGAAGTTAAATTCCGGCAAATCATCATCATCTTTCGCAGCAACTGGCCCAAATCCAGGTGGCACGTCTTCATCACCATCATCACAACCAACCAAACCATGATTCCTCATGGATGCAACATTTACAACAGGCGGTGGATTCGTAACATTCACACTACTAGACCTTTTGTTTTCTGGAGCCAACACAGACTTCTTAGCGCCAGAAGAAGAATGCTGACGTTTGAATCCAGGCTTATGTCGTGAGCCAGGAGACGCGACAACTGCACGCCTCCACACAACAACACCGATCAACCCGATATCCTCTGAACACTTGACCTCATCAAGATGGTCCTTGGAGATGATTTTGCTCAACAACTCAAGTATTTCACCGCGTGGTGGACAGAGGTAAAGCTCAACGCCTGAGGTTGGTTCTGCATAGCCAACTCTTTGGTCAGCTACGTACGACTTAGTAACCTGACCCCAAAAAGAAAAGGACAAAGGCAAAGACTTTTAAGCAAAACTAATAAATGTCTTATGTACTAAAAGAAGTAATATGACAATATATAAAAAATTAAAAGAATAAATAATCAGAATTAGAATTAATACCTCAAAAAGACTATCACGTTGGCTCTGAGAGATACCATCCTTGCACACCACGTTCATTACCTGCAATTTAATGTACCAACTTGATTATTATTTACACTAATTACGAAAAATGCATATAAGAAGAAACTTTTTCCTCTACGACAAAGAAATATGGTTCGACAGATTCTATTTTGGGTCATGATTTATGGAACATGTTCCGGCGTTTGTGGTTTTGTAACTCTCTCTGTAAGAGTTTCTTGGTAACATTTTTGATGATTCTATACCCTAACAGTTAACAATAATACATCTACAAGTGATTGGGCATCCAAAATTTCATGATTTTATACAAAATATCCACAGTTGATTCTCTGGTCAATCAGGGCTTTTTTTTAACTGTCCCGGTCCTGTTTCACAGATGTAGATCAACCGTGAGCTTTTTTGCTTTCTGGGTTCCATGTTTTAGCTAATGGGAACTGGGAAGCCTAATCTCTGCATTAAGAAAGGACTTGCAATATTGAGATGAGATTTTGTGGATCTATTATTGCTGGTATCAGTAGTAGTAGTAACAAAGAAGAGAGTGAAGCAAATAATGCTAATGACACTACAAAGATAATGCACGTAATAAACTTTGTATACCATTAAGACACGGCTTCGAGACAACGGAAGCTCTTTTACAAACTTCCCAAACGCGCTGAGTCTCACTCTACCCTTTACCTCCACCATTGTTGGCCACTCGCCTGTCTTTGCTTTCTCACCACTGCACGAGCAAATCGAGTCAGACACAATGTATGATTCAATGATACCCACATAAGATCCTTTTCTCATTCCATCTTTTGTTCTACAAATTAAATAAACATCAGAGTGTGATTTAATTCTACATGTACTCTTTTGTGAGCTGTTTCCTATTAAGTCTAAACTTAGCTTCATGCATATCTTTGGTACTAATAACCCATTTCTATAATGGTTTGATTTCACTATGTTCGAATCCAAATAGCAAACAAGAGATAAAAGTTTAAAGTAATTAAGAAGACTTGCCTCTTGAAAATTCCAGTGACTGAGACAACGGAAGCAGCACTAAGCTGCAGTATACCATCCCATATTCGGTCCTCTTTAATGTTATCAACCAAAAGTATTTCTTCAGCTTTAGAGACATCAGTGTCGAGTTTGACACCAGCATCCGGTTTTGGGGAAGTTACATTAGTCATTTTGAGTTCTGTTTTAGAAGAGACGCTCTCACTGGGTTCCTTTGGAGACTGTTTTGGAGATCTTGAAGGTGATTTTGAATGTGCCCCATCTTTAGAGTCACTCTTCTCAGATTCAGGCTCTTCCTTTACAGGAGGATGCTCATGTGGACTGCCAAATGGAGGTTCTGAGTTCAGGGATTCCATGAACTCATCAAGCGATACAATTGGAGGAAGAAAACCCACATCCTTCATCTCATCATCCATTGACAGACCATGCATTGGATCAATCTCCTCTGTTGGGGGCAGAGTCATAGCAGATGATGTTCCCTGGTTGAGTTTTATGTTCTTATCATTCGAGTCATTTTTCTTTAAAGTGGATTTGGTAGATGATTTCGCGGATTTTGCTTTGGCTCGAGGTTTACTATGTGAGGTAATCTCAGCAGAGACATCCACTGTCCCACTATCAACAGGATCAATTTCTACCTGGAACTCACCTTTATGCGTTTTCCTCACCAGATTTCTGACATCAATGTCTGCATCCCGCAGGACAACCATCTCCGCCATCTCTTCTGCTTTTGCTTGTCGCCACTGAGAAAGCTCCTTAGAAGCAAGTTCCTCAGCTGTCATATTACACAATCTCTCTGGAGATATCTTTCCGGACATGACACTTTCTCTTAGCTCAGGATTGTTCTTATCCTTCAAATTGAATAAGAGAGACCTTCCCTTCTCTTTGTACTTCTTGTTCACACCTCCAAATAGCTTAAAAAGTTCCAACTCAATTTTAGATGCCAAGAGCTCTGGATCCTCAAACGACTTTTGAGGTTCATTCTCCCCAAAATCTGAAACAGGTTCCAAAACCCATGAGAGGCCATTACCCTGTAAAAGTTCATCCCCAGAAAAAATACTATCACTAAAACGAACATCATCACAGGGGAAAACCTCGTCAAATTGAGTTTTCTGTACATCAGATTGATTAACATAATTCATCTTTGTGTCATTAGAACTCTCTTGCGACAAAATTCTTCCATTGCCATTCTTCTGCCCAAAACTATCATCCCTTGTTGACAATGCCGGTGTGATGTCTTCAGCTACTGTAACACTAGTACCATCGGCTGAGGCAGGCTCATTACTTTCAGCTACTGGAACACTTGCTTCTTCAGTTTCTGAATTCTTTTTCTCTTTCGGAGATTCCTCATGCTCGTGAACCAAAGCCAAGGCAGCTGCTAATGATTCCTTCATTTTAGATCTTAAAGACTCGTTACCATCATTCTGTGTTTTCACCGACCCTTGTGACAGGCCTGATTGTTTCTTGTTCATCACTTGCTTCCCAGATTTTTGGGAAGCAGGTTCCATTTGCCTTGATCTCTTAGCAGACGTTGGTGGATGTTCCGTCTTGGGAGAAAGAGTAGCAGGTGGCGGCATATGACCCCGCTCAATACTTTCTGAATAAAATTGTTCTAGCCATGGTCTGTGATGCACTGGCTCTACTCGCCTATTTGGTGCATCTAACTTCTCGGAAGCAGCAGAACCACCGAGAGTCGACTGAGACTCTGGTGGTGAATTACGCTTCCCTGCCCCTGGAAGGATACTACATGCAGCTACAGAACTCTCTCCAGAATACGAATGTGCAACAGGAAGTTGCAACTGAGGCATCAAAGACTGAGTATCAACCAACATAGAGGATTGAAAAGAGACATCCTCAGGTTCAAATCGGAATGCCAAAGGACCAGAGACAGATGTTTCCAAAGGCTCTTGTTCCATGTCTGAAACTGAGATATGCTGATCATTTGATCCTACTATCTCTATCAAATTCGTTTCTCCAAAAGTATCTGTCTCCAGATCAATATGCTCTGTTCCCATATTACTGGACATGATACTAAACCACAACAGCTATATCCAAACATTCACTTCAACAGCTGTGAGAAAAACAAAATATCGATTTAGAATAAAAACAAAAACTTTGATTCAATCCTACAACATAATCCGATCACAGAAGAAAAACACAAATCTCCATTTTCATTTCCGATTTTGAGGAAAAACAAAATCAAAACCCAAAACAAAAAAAAAACCCCATTTCTAAGAAGATTCATCAACAACCAAATCAAACAATATACACTAACATAAACCAAATAAAATTCGAAATTGACAAATATATGGCTGAAGAAAATAGCTCGAAAAGAATCGAACTTTTGGATCTAGCGAAAAAATTAAACATGACAACCATGAAAATTTACCTGATTACAAACAGGGTTCACTGGAAAATCAATCGGAGCAAGATATGTACGAAGGGAAGAGGAAACCCTAAAAGCTTCTGGATTTGGGGATAGAGTTTTTTTCAGCTGTCTCGGTGACGACAACAGTTTCTTCTAGATATTAGTGGAGGACACTCGTGATAAGGCCAAAATCCTATATGGGCTTTAAATTATAGGCCCATATTAAATGGGCCTTTAGCGAACCAAATTACTTAGGATTCCTCTTACAGACAAATCCAACGGTTGGATTTACGTGTCAACGTCTCATCAAACGGACGTTAATTATTTGCATGCGAGATGTTTTTTATTTTTATATTATCGGAAAAAAACGGAAACAAAGACGCTGTCTTTTCGAAAAAAAGGAAAAATAATTAAAATTAGGAAAGTAGCAATTTTCCGTGAAAATTTTGTTATCATTTTTTTTTCTCAGAAATCTAAAAAACAATGAAGAAAACACCCTAACGAATCATAAATTTCTCAAATCCAAACTCTGTTTTTTGTTCTTTGTCTTCCAGATTTGGTTTTTTTTTTTTTTTATACACTCTAGATTCAGTTTTTCTCTCTCCCTCTCTCTCTATCTCTAGGAATGTTTTCGTTCGTGGAAACTGGAATCATGAGATTAAGATTTTGAAGGAGAAAGCAGGTAATGATTAGGGTTTTCTAAGTATTGGGTATTATAAAAGTGTCAACCTTTTTTTTTCTTCTTCGGATCTAAACCCACATTACACGTTTCTCTGTTTTTTTATGTCAGATCCATGTTCTTGTCAGAGAATTTAGGGCTCTTTGTTTGGATTTGAGCTTTGCTTTTGTTCTTCTTCGTGAAAGTTTTGAAATTTGGGAAAAGATATGTTTAAGCAGTTTCTAAGTAAACTTCCGAGGAAGTCTTCAAAATCTGATTCTGGAGAGCTGAATCGTTCGAGTTCAGGTCCGGTATCGTCTCCGGTTCAGAGATCTGGAACTAGTGCCGGTTCGGGTCCGGTTCGATCTAACTCAGGGAAGCGTATGTCATCTGCTGTGTTCCCAGCTAGTGTTGTTGCTGGGATTGAGCCTTTGGTACCGTTTAAGGATGTACCAAGCTCTGAGAAATTGAATCTCTTTGTGAGTAAAGTTAGTCTCTGTTGTGTGACGTTTGATTTCTCCGACCCCGGTAAAAATTCGATTGAGAAAGATGTTAAAAGGCAGACATTGTTGGAGCTTTTGGATTTTGTAGCTTCAGGGTCTGTTAAGTTTACTGAGCCAGCTATTCTTGCAATGTGTAGAATGTGTGCTGTTAATCTGTTTAGGGTTTTTCCTCCGAATTATCGGTCTAGTTCGGGTGGTGAAAACGATGATGATGAGCCGATGTTTGACCCTGCTTGGCCTCATTTGCAAATTGTTTATGATTTGCTGCTTAAGTTTATTACTTCTCCGTGTCTTGATGCTAAGTTGGCAAAGAAGTATCTAGATCATGCTTTTATTGTGAGGTTGCTCGACTTGTTTGATTCGGAGGATCCTAGAGAACGGGAGTGTTTGAAGACGATTCTGCATCGGGTGTATGGGAAATTCATGGTTCATAGGCCGTTTGTACGCAAGTCCATGAGTAATATATTCTACCGGTTTGTGTTTGAGACAGAGAAGCATAGCGGAATCGCAGAGCTTTTGGAGATTTTCGGGAGTATTGTGAGCGGATTTGCGTTGCCTTTGAAAGAGGAGCACAAGATCTTCTTGTGGAGAGTGTTGATTCCGTTGCACAAGCCTAAATCTGTCGGAAACTACTTCCAGCAGCTTTCTTATTGTATCACTCAGTTCATAGATAAAGAGCCGAAACTTGGCAGTGTTGTGATAAAGGGTTTGTTGAAATTCTGGCCTATCACGAACAGCCAAAAAGAAGTGATGTTTCTTGGGGAGGTCGAAGAGATTGTAGAAGCAATGAGCGTGATGGAATTTCAAAAGATCATGGTTCCTTTGTTCTTGCGGATTGCTTGTTGTGTCACCAGTTCCCACTTTCAGGTACATTCCTATTACGAATTGTTTCCTTGACCTCGATATCGTGTTGCAGTTAGATATCCATACATAGTTCTCATATATGATTGATCTGCATGAGCATAAGATAAGCTTATATAGTTTGAAACAATTTGGCGTCTTGTGTTTCAGGTTTCTGAAAGAGCTTTATTCTTGTGGAACAACGATCAAATTGTGAACTTGATTGGACACAACCGGCAAGCCATCCTACCAATCATGTTCACTGCCTTAGAAAAGAATGCTCAGAACCACTGGAACCAATCTGTGCTAAACTTGACCTTAAACGTAAGAAAAATGTTCTGTGAAATGGACGAGGCTCTGTTCATGTCTTGCCATGCCCGCTTTAAAGAGGACGAAGCAAAGCAATGTTCTGCAGCAGAAAAGAGGAAAGAAGTATGGGCAAGGCTAGAGAACGCAGCAAGTATGAAGCCGATAACAGGAAAGACGGCTGTTCTGGTAACTCCTCGAGCAACCTCCATTGCCTGCTAAATAGCGCTTAAACCAATTCACGGACAGTTTATCCAACAGAAATGAAGCAGCAACATCAAAAGGATGATGGAGTGGCTGTTGCTTAAGCTATGGTCTTCGGGAACTTTTCATCGGGGTTGATCTTTGTAATATTATATAACTTTGATGTTGTTAGATGTGTGGGTTTTAATGCTAAATCTCTTGCTTCCCTTTAAAGCAATGAAACCATGCTGCATATTTTTTTTTATCAAACTCTTTGTATCAATCAATTAAGTTAATATATCTTTTTTCTTTCAACTATGGCTCTATGGATCTAAACTAGGATCACACAACAACATAACATCAAAAAGTTTATCAGAAGACAGAGCTAAGTTTATAGCCAAATGAAACAAATGTACAGGTTGTTGTTTGTTCCTCACAAAACTTCATAGTCTCATAGACTAAGGTCATGCACGAAGAACGTCTTCCCACGATATGTGATGGACCTTTCTTCAGCTCCAAGGCACCACAAATGGCCTTGCAGGTTAAGAGTCTCTTTCATTCCTGCTGTTTCCCACACAAACTCAAAGAGGCCCAATGCCCTATCTAACTGCTTCATCCCTCTCTCCAACATTTTCTCATCCGTTGAAGTCAAGATCCTCCCCATGCTTAAGCACAAGAACTCGCTCTTCTCCTTGTAAAACCCACCACAGAGATCAACTTCAATGTCACGCACACGGCCATAGAGAAAATACATGACGAGAGAGAACAAACACGGTGAAGGACTGCCCAACAACTTTGAGAGTTTTCTGTACACAAGGTGCTCTTGATGTCTAACCTCTCGAAATCCAATAGTGTTGTCCAAAAACACATCTTTGATCTGCAAAAGCCCTTCTTTCATCGATACAAGCTTTTCCAAATGGTAAAGTACAGTAATTTCTTCATCATGTTCAAGATACCTTCTCAGATCATTCACCATATCAAGAACATCTTCCCACTTCGCAGAAGCATTAGCTTTCGCATACCTAGCTGGCACAGGCCGCATCCAAGAAGTTGATTTCTCGGCTTCAAATGAAACCGATGATTCAGATAAAAACCCAAGGCAAGACAATATCACTTGCTGAGCCAATACTCTACCTTGACTCATCTCTCTATGTTCAACTAACCAATCAACTTCTTCTTTAAGACCATTCAATATATCTTCAAGAGCACCTCTCCATATACGATACTGCGTCACCTGTGAACACACAGTGCACCTCACTAGCTTCCGCTGCTGGGCCGAGACGTTAAGAAAGTTGCTAACTTTAGTCAATGAATTCACCACCAATGGTTCTCTTTCATTTTCACTCCCAAAAAATGGGAACTTGAATCGTCCCTCTTCTCTAAGCTTCTGCTGAATTGAAGGAGACCCAATAAAGATTCTAGCCAGAGATTTAAAGGCTTGCATTTTCTTTTTGATACCATCATCATAAATGATGACACCATTGATGTCCTCTAGCTTCCCATCGACTAAATCAACGTCTTTCAATGCACGGCTTAGTTTTTTCAGAACTGGGAGTTTTGTTTCGTACCATTCATAAGGCAATGCATCTCCATAGGAATCAACTGAAGAATGATACAAAACCTGGATTGATCGGAAGAAGCGACTTGGATTTGCTCTGAAACAGATGTCAGAGATTAGATACCTTCTTATTTGATGATACCCATTAACCCACATTTGAAAAGCAGCTAAGTGTAACAGCAACGAGTTAATAGTCAGACATGAAACTCTCTCTTAGGAATTTCATCAAACAGTTTGTATGCAACTTTTGAGAAAGAAGAAACTTGACGAAATTGGGATCTTAATTCATCCACGTGTGACCTCACAAACCATATTTGTAATGCGAGAGATTCTGTATCGTGATAGAAGGAAAGCGAGTTTGGGAGAAGAGATCAAGGGAAGCTTTAGATGACAATTGACAAGTGAAAGCTGTGAGAGAGGAGATGAAGTTGGAACTTGGAAGCGAAGAGCTTTTGGTCATTGCGTTTGGATCATTAATGGGCCGATAAAATATGAACTAAAAAGGCCTCTTTTTGTTAGATTCTCAAACCTATTTTAACCCGTAGATATGTTAAGGACTACTAAAATAGAATCATGGATTGTGTGCCAAATCTTGCTCAATTATTGGGAGATGGAGTTTAGAATTTTTAGATAATACTGTTATTGGTTTATAAATTATGAGATTCTTAGTGAAATCTATTGTTATTGGTTTATGAATTAATCTTCTGTTATTGGTATTATGACTTTTAAATTCTATTCAAAATCTAGGGCGATAGGCACTGAGTCACCCTCTGTTTAGCGTCTAACGGTTTCTTGAATATTGGAGTTAATTGGTTAAATTTTTTTTTTTTTTTATCATTTTCTTAGTCTTAATAATTCATATTCAGTCCAACTTAAAATTTTTTTTAAGTTATCTTCTTTTCTATAAGTAAATATAGTATATGATAATATTTAAAATATGAATCTTGAGTCCTAGTTATTAAGATCTTCAAATGTTAAACAAATACTTTGATAACAAACTCATGTGGAAACTCGAATTTGTGTTAGTGTTGTTAATATGTCACCACTCTTTTTTTTTTTTTTTTGTCAAAGAATATGTCACCACTCTACTTAAATCATAGTATATCTTTTTGACCAAAAAAAAAAATACAATTAATGTGGAGGCTCTAATTTTGCTGGTGGAATTATACTAAACCAGTAAACCATACTCTTTAAACAAAAATATGTTTTCATCAAATTGTTGACAATACATGCTCCATCCATGTCAATTGCGTGCTTTGCATAAAGATATAAATTATTAGGAAGAATGTGGAAGGGTGCAACAGAACAAAGACAAAAGAAAGAAGGGCTAAGAAAAAAAGGCTTAGAAAGATGAACATGCTTTGCTTTTTTATGTGGGTTAAAGAGAAAATTTTAAAAAACTTTTAAAAAAGTTACTGCAATTTTCCCAAAATTTAAGAGTTTATTATTGTTTCGTAAGGGCGTTTTTGAAATGGATAAAAAGTTATCTTTGCTATTGCCTTTGTTATAAAAATTGACTTTAACAGTAAGAATGTTTGTTTATTTAACAAGTGATGTGCACTTTACTTAGATTGGTCATCGACGGGTCTCTCTCATTTGCTCATTAAAAGAAACACTAAGTCTACGTATAAGAGTTTAGTTTATATTTCTTACTTACTACCCTAATATATATATGTTAATTAACATGAATTATATTTTATTATTAATGCATTGCGACAAATTAATACTAATATTCATCTAAATCAAATCTAACAATTGATGGTTTTTTGAAATTTAAAGTGGGAAGACACATTCACCATGTTGCATGATAATAATACCTAAGACGTACTTTCACTTCACTAAAACCAAAGAAGAATAAAATGATGAATTGACGTAAAAGTGGGAAAAAAAACACGAAAGATTCTTTAGTAAAAAGCCAATTAGTGCAACCCTTTAACGCAAAAATAAAAGCTAAGCAATGGATTATAGTAGCAGACATTAAAGACTGGTTGTCTTTTTTTTTGACCCGTTGATGATAATCTTAACTACACTTCCATGAGTTCATTGAATTGGGAATCCTATGCAAAATGTAACGTGTGTGTGGACACGTACGTACGCTTGCTTATACTATTTTAGAGTCCAAATCATGACAATAGAACGAACGATAAAATTAAAATAGATCAAACTTATCAAGCGGAGTAAATGTAGTCAATGTGAAACAAACCGAACAAGCGGTGTAAAATATATTGTTTCTCGAATAGAATTAATTGAATCAGTTAGTAAATTAATCACTAATCAGCACCATTTTTTGTTGTATACATGGGTTCATATATTAAATTTTCACGAAAACGAATTGGTCGGCTTTCGTTCAAATAGTTAAGGATAACATAATTAATTTTTGAGTTAATTTGTGCAGAGGTAGAAATGGGAACAATAATTAGTGCAGAGGTAGTATCAGAAGCTGTCGGTTCGCAGGTAGTATCAAAAATTAGAAAGGGGCTGCATACAGTCTTTATTTACAAAAAAACCAAGCCGCGTGATACGAATGCGCGTGGGCGAAAGAGAGGTGGCTCTATGTGCAACCGAAAGAACATTCTGACTTGCCTTTAATATGTCAAATAGAACTGATAGTTATTCGGCAAAAGTCAATACGAGGTGATGGTTATTTAATGCGTGTGTCTCTCGTTTGAGGGTGTGGGATTCGAAATCAAACGAAAAGGTTTAGGCGGGATGCGAAATTTTAAAGGACTAACCTAGGGCTGTTATCTATAACAGCAGTTTATAGAAGTTAAAAAGGGATGTAGCTGTATATCTAAACAAATGTCGTTTGACAAAAAACTGACTGAGCATTTATATAAACACATATAGAGGTCTAATATACTAAATTTACATAAGATATATGACTCTATGAAAATATATGAACATGTATCTAAATTTACAGATAAATATTAATTCATTAACTAATTGAGAATTTTTGATTAAATTCGATTTTTTTTCCAGAAAAAAACATGTTTCGATTGATTTCATGCATAGCCTATGCTCCATCGTCTTCTTCCTTTTCACTCCAAAATTTCTTGTTTTGTTTGTGCTCTTAGTCACCGTCGTTGGTTTTAAATCTACTGTTTCTTCATCGTTTGCAAAAAAACTCTGGCTATCTATATTTGGTCGTTTCTTCTTCCCAGATCCACTTACGTCTTTACCTATTTTCTTAGATCCGGTTTGGACATTCACAAATCTGCATAGATCTATACTTTCGTGTTTGCATGTTCATAAGTTTTCTTGCGGCTCCATTAAATGTTCATCCCCCTCGTAATCCACATCCAGCAAGACCAACCTTGTTCTGTCTCCACCTGTTCATGTTTTTAGCAATCCAAGTTAATACATGGATATTCACAATTGGATAAGACTCATTATTTGCAAACGTAGAGCTCTATGTTACATTGGCTATGTTACCTTCGAGGTATGTGTCATCAACCACCGGCGTTGCGTCCCTAGCAAAAGTTTGCACTGGCATTTCAAGCATATAAACATAATAAACACGACGTTGTTTTTCTTATCGGTTTGAATGAATTAGAAAAGAGTTGAGAGAGATGTAAACATAAGATCTGCATCTGGTGGGTTAATAGAAAGTGGGCCAACTTCCCGGAGAACACCGGCTTTGAGTAAAGATCCAAGATTTTCCCAAAGCAAGGTCGAATGGTTTCGATCTCCTTGGAGGTCAGGGCCTTTAGAACGGCTTTGATGGTATTAAGCTTAAAGTATATGTTAACACGATCACCGGCAGGTTCTTCTCTGTCTGCAAAAAGCCTAGAAGGAAATCAATATCTGCCATTTTCCTGCAAAACAGACAAGCCAATTTATTAGAAAAATAGATCAATAAACGGAAGATGATGACATGCAATTTATGTATGAAGCTCCAAATAAAATTATGGATGTCTAACAGTGGATCTACGTCAAAGAGGTGAAGATACATGCAGATCTAAGGATGTGTATAAAGAAATTTGAGGACGAAAGCCTAACAATAGAAAACAAAATCGTAATAGCGAAAAAAATGAAAACAGAAGTTAAACCAGAGAGATCTAAACGAATTAAGGAAAAATCAATTGGTTTTGGAAGAGAACGAAAGTGACAGTTCGCCTTTTCGAATTCGGGTCTACAGGATACTGAGTTACTTGTGATATGAGGCGACGCCGATTAGCAATCTCACCGGAGCAAACTCGGTCCTCGAAACAAAGGAAGAAGACGACGAGGCTTAAAGTTTCCAGAGAGAGATAATAAAGTGACTGTTTAATATCTCGAGAGGAAATAATAAAGAGAAATCTTCTTCTTTTTCCAATGTAACACGTTATAAATTGGGCTGTTCGATTATAGCGCGTGAGGGTATAAACGGAAGAAATATGGGCTGAAATCTTCAATGTCTTGGGTCGAAGAGCATAATGTCGAAAATTTAAATAAGCCTGGATCCATTACTTCTCAGCCAATTATCTCTTAATTTTTTTCTGATAACTATTCTCATATTCTAGAGGGAACTCGTAAAAATTTCATTCGATTTGGTGGTTAACTCATTATCGTCAAGCCATTTCTAAATATGAATGCATAACTATTATGGATGCTTAATCTTGATCTACCTTTGAAAGTTTTAAAAATTTGATTATTATTATTTTTTTTTTTTTGATAAACCCTACCGGCTATCCGGTCGGTCCCGGTAGGAACGCACCGAGGTGCTACATAGTGGATTGGTCCACCGTGTTAATGGTTAGGCCATTCGCGCTACCATTCTGCCTATCCCGAGTTTGGAATGCCTTCCGACTAAGTGCCAGAGACTAGTCAGGCCGCCTGCATTTCTGACTACCAGGTAAACTAATTAGACCAAAGCCTAACTGACAGACTTCCCACAATAATGTTGATAACAGCAGGAGGAGTCGAACCATGAAGAGGAGGGAGTTGCACCCAACCACCCTGGGCCCGCCAAGCCACCAGCCCACGATCATGTGGGCAAAAATTTGATTATTATTCACGCCTTTTTTTGAGGCATTGGATTGAACAAAAGGTTTCGTACGTTGTGGTCCATGATGCATCATCTATTTCAAACGCTTACTAGAGTTTGTGTTTGGTTTAACGTAAAACTCCACTCCTATACTACGATTTATATGATTGCAAAAAGTAAATGCATAAAAAGATTTGCGTGCAATTTGGATTTTGCTGCCACCAAAACAGGAGTTCTCAACGTCTCGTACGATCAACATTCAACAACTCAAGTGCTTCGAACTTAGGTGAGAATAGTGATTGCGGAATCAGAAGGCAACAACTTTGTCATAAATAAGAATACTTTAAAACAAACGTACATACTAGCTAGGAGACGGAACGACATCAGAATTTTTTTTTGTCTTGCTTACATTCGAACATAACCAAACAAAGGTCCTACAAGATATGAAACGTGTCAAATCTAAAGGGAAAAAAAAATCATGACATAAAGGGTCGGTATCTTGCTCCGGTTCTTCATCAGTTTTCTCTTCTCTAATGTTTCCTGGTCCAAAAGAAAAGTATCAAAAGATACCTTAGCCTACTGTTGTTAGTCAAAAATATATATGTTGTGACTTGGGAGTAGAAATTTACAATTATTGTTGGACTAATAGGGTGGTTCAGTGGCAGGTTTTGGTGCGTTACACCTGAAACACTCTGACCTGCTTGCGAAGTTATGTTCGTTGCAGCCTGACCTGTATATACACACATAAATTAACGATCGGTTTAGCTTACGTAAAACCCAACATGTGCATGAGTTATAGATATTACGTGATGAAAAAAACCCATGTACATTTCATGAACCATGCACATGAACAACATGTTCTCGCAAAAAAAGAACACATGTATACACGCACTAACAAACAAACAAAAAGTACCTTGGGCAAATCCAATCTCCAGATTTCCAAGGAGAACGGCCTGTGCCGCCACCACCACTGCTGCTGCCAAAACCAAAAAGGCCACGTCTTGGACCAACATTATTCATGTCTATAAACCCGGTTGTTGCAGCAGCACTTGAACTTGAAAACTCATCTTTGGCGGCACCACACTTGAAACAACTGGACCTATTGGCAAAATTATGTGTCCCGCAACTCCCAAGGTTGCAATACCAATCACCGGGTCTCACGTCCGGCCCGGTGTTGAAACCGAAGGAGCTACTAACCGGACGGCCACCAAAACCGCCGAGTAAGTCAGTACTGATGCCGCCCGGTCTAGGCTCTCTACAACGTTGGCATGAATCCCTCCTTTGGAAGTTGAGGTGGCTACAAGATCTGCAGTTCCAATCTCCCGGCCTATTCATCTTCTTCTACGACCCCATAGAAAAAAAAAAGTGAATAATTACACAAAACTAATAAAGAGATATCTATATACAAATAATGTAACCTATGTATATGTTATGATTACCTGAGGATGTTAAATGGAAACGAAAAAGAGAATTGATGAAGTGAGTGTTAGGAGCATATGAAGGTGTTGTTGTACTCTCTACATATATTTATATGGACAAAGCAAAAGTCCCTAGCTTTAACAACCGGGAACAATTTTTGAAGTGAAATTAGGGTTTCAATTGGTTTTTACTTTCTTATTTGCTACAGCTTTAATGCATATCCCTTTAACGTTGGGGTTCTCCGTAAACTACGTTATTCCCAAAAGAAACAAATTTATCTATATATATATATCGAGGACTTTAAATTTATCTATCGTTTTTTGACCCCACTATTTTAAACAAATAAAAGAAACACAAGTTTAAAGCTTTCGATATCAGCCGTTTTCATTTTGCGTCTGCTTCACAAAAGCTAATACATATACATTAATACATACTGCCAAATTCAATACCATTTTTGTTTATTTACTTGACATATGTAAATCTGCGTATTTTTAGACACATAAAAAAACCAAAGTTTGCCAAATTACATAACATAGAATGTGTGTGTTTTTTTTTTTTTTTTGGGGCAACGAAACATAGATGTGTAAGCCTCTATACATGTCTTTGGTTCATGAACGACAGTGAATCCTCCTAATTAATTGGTGTCAAGGTTTTATATATAACACTTGAATTGATAATGAATAAGAAGAACTAAACTAGAGATACTATAAATGGCCTATATATGGGTTATCAATATAGTTTTTGACTAACAGGTGGATTCTCGCTATGAGACAAAATGAAAATTTCACTAAATTTCACAAATTAAACTGAAAAAAAAGAAAAGAAAAGAAAAGTAAAAGATTCTCAGACCTTTTGGGGACCCAGTTCGTATATGCTTATCTATTTATATTCTTGTTAACTGTATATGCACATATAGATTGACTGACGATGAGACAACTAAAGCTGAGGGATATATAGTTATATTCTCATTATCTATTTCGAGCATGTATCCCTTTCATATTATTCATCAATCGCAACTTCGTGGTATAACTAATTGTAAACACATTTCATATTTGTATAGATAATAAACAGATATATTGATGGAGGTACATGGGTGTATTGTATAATATGGTCTCGTGCGTGTCAGGAGAAAAAGGATGCAGCATGAAGTAAAAAACTCTCTAGCAGTACTACTGTTAAAGCAAAAGTTGCATGGCAACAGTTTCAAGGAACGTATCTGTTCCCTTAGCCGCGGAAAATTATAAACGTAAAAGGAATAACTTCTCTTAGCTAGCTTTTCTTTAATTTAATTACTCTTGTAACTAATATTCAAGTATATCCATGAGAATTATAGGTTAAAGCGTAATTAAAACAAGAATCATTAAATGGGAAGGAAAAGGCTTTGAGGTTCGTATCTTGACCATCTTTGTGTCCTTTTGATTTGTCTACTTACTACAGGACAGTTTCGACCACTTTTTTATTTAACCTATCATTTTTTTTTTCCTTACTGTACATACAAATTATAAATTGTGGTTTGTGGATACACTGCAAATGCAATCGCTTTTTTTACCGTCAAATCACCCTTTCCATTGTGGTACATACTTGTCTATCTAAAGTTGATTCAGCTATAAGATAATAAGACAGAAAAATCCACAATAAGATATAGGGTTTTGTGTAAAATAATCCTCAAATTCACTAATTTTTGCAACTATATCTTTTACATTCCAAAAATGGAGAATAATTTTTTGAAGTCCAAAATAATAGACAATATAAACAACTCTATCTTAGGATTATTTTGCACAAAACCCTAAGATATATATAGAACAGACAAATGCAACAAATGATTAAAAGTTATATAACTTAAATGACTTTATTCAACTTTTAAGATATACATATACAGTAGTAGAATTTTACGAACAGTAAAAGTTATATATTATTTACTGAAATGAAGGACGTACGATATTGTATGTTTTTTCTAACTTATGTAAAATGTAAGAGATAATGTAGTGTATATATATATAGCTCTAATTGTCATGTACCCCCAAACAAGTCTTTTTATGTTCATAAGTTTAGAAAATTTAAGCTTTAAATTAATTATTTGTACAATTGTAGTATACGAACTAAAATATAGGTTATGGTGATTTTTTTTGGTAGGATGGTTATGGTGATTGAATGTGCATGCTCTATACAACTCCGTCCATGGCTCCGACCCTAATGCCTTATCCATAAGTAGCCATAAAAGCGTAACTCGAAATTGAAGAAAAATAATGGGTAACTTAAAAAAGAATATTTAAAAAGAATCATAATAGAGACAAGGGAGAAAATAGAAGAATCATAATAATTAATAAACCCACCATAATGTCTCGGGGAATGGTAAAGAAAAACTGACGAACACAAAAGAAAAGAGAGAATCTATTCGATTATCTTTGGGAAATACTTCCATGCATCATCATCACTTATCTCAACTTCTCCAAAGTTCTAGATGTCTTATGATTTTCCCACGTATTTTTTTTATTTTATTCCCACGTATTTTATTTAGGATGATTCAATTATCTATGAATATGATCATTCGCTAGGACGATTAGCAGAATCAAATTGTATGTTAAGAGTGCGAGCAAAAAAATGTTCTTAAAAAGCTATATATATATATATATATATATACAGATATCATTGTTATCTAGAATTTTATAGCCCCATAAAAGATTAGACATTAAAAAAAACCACAACATACATAACTCACACATTTTCTTAAGTTTATTCATGAAATAACCATATGATATAATTTCACATTTACTTAAAAAGTAAAAGTGTTTGATATGCCATGTAATTCCCCCAAAATAAAATATCCTTAAATATATTAAACAGTGCTGACCAAAATACAAAGGTAAATAAAATTAGGTAATGGATTTGTTTGTATTTTTTGTAAGTTGAGGGTTATTTTAAAAATATTGGCTACTTTGAGGGTTATTTTAAAAATATTGGCTACTTTGAGGGTTTTCTTGCTAATTGACAGGAAAAGTAAACCGAATATGGTTCTACGAGTAAACCGGACAACAAAATAAAGAAAAACGAAACTCCCAAAATTAATTTTGTTTAAGCAGAGAAGAAGAAGAAGAAGCCATGGCGGAAGAAGAATTGCAGAGAATCGATGAGAAGAAGCCATGGCGAGTTCTCGAGTTCTACAGTGGAATCGGTGGAATGGTAACACTCTCCTTCTTCTCGAATTCTATGTTTTTGGTGTAGTCTACTCTCTTTCATAAACCCTAATTCCTACATTCCTTTTGCTCTTAGAGATACTCTTTAATGGCGTCAGGCGTTGTTTCAGAAGTAGTAGAAGCTTTTGAGATCAATGATTCTGCTAATGATGTTTATCAACATAATTTCAAACATCGTCCTTATCAGGTTTCTTCTTTGTTCTCAAATTCATCATTTGTGAAATTGGTTGCTTATAAGCTTATATATGATTAATCGATAGAAACATTATTGATGATGCTAGTTCTGTGAATTAGGCCATGATTTGTCCTTAGATTGTTGTTAATTGAAAACTTGCCATTGTGTTTCACGTTGCGGCGGTTAGGGCGGAAAAATCCGTTTGCGGTTCGGACCGCTTTTTATTTACCAATCATAAACTATAATCCGTAGTGGTGCGGATTGAAAAAAATAGAACAAGTCCGCGGCGAACTAACTAGGGACCGTTTTTACGTAGAAATAAACTTGGTCTCCGGCTGTTTGTTTTCTGCTCCGAAATAGAGTGGTGTAGTCCGCTAGCGGTTTAGTCCGCTATGCCCATAGCATTCATTTATACATTTTCCAGTATGGTCTCTCGATTTCCGTTTCGGAATCTTTATCGAATTCTTTTTGTATTGTTTGTTACATAGGGAAATATTCAGAGTCTCACTGCTGTTGACTTAGATAAGTATAATGCTGATGCTTGGCTTCTTTCTCCTCCTTGTCAACCTTATACTCGACAAGGTGATTCACTGTTTTTTCTTCGTTACGATCAACATGACTTGCTTTTCTGTAGGGGATGTGTTGAGTACTAATAGTTTTTTTGGTTAGGCCTTCAGAAACAGTCTGGTGATGCTCGGGCTTTTTCGTTTCTCAGGATTCTCGAGCTTATACCGCATACGTCTAAGCCTCCACAGATGTTGTTTGTAGAGAATGTTGTTGGGTTTGAGGTATGTGTTTGCTTGTGCTTCTCAGCTGGAGTTATAATGAAATTTTTAACAATCATTGTACTTGTTCGCTATCATCTTCTTTGAATTTGTGACATATTTGGTTATTGGTGGTGTTTGTTGGTGCAGACTTCGGATACTCATATGGAAATGATTGATACATTAACAAAGTTAGATTATGTCACACAAGAGTTTATTTTGAGTCCGTTGCAGTTTGGTGTGCCGTATTCAAGACCACGTTATTTTTGTCTGGTACTCTCTTTACCTTATGATTACGTAGTGCATTTGACGCAAATCTGTGTACCCAAAACTGTTACTTTTACTCTGAGAATATATAGGTATATGCTGATTATGAAGCTGTAAAACTTTCTCATGTAATGTGCACTTTCCGTATGAATTTCCGTTTCATTTCTATTTTCCTGCTTTTATCTTTTTCTTTTGGTTAAAACATCTCACGAACTTTAAAATCATTTGATTTATCTTGTTACTTTGTAGGCCAAAAGAAAGCCTCTGGCATTTAAGTCCCAACACAGTAATAACAAACTACTCTGGTCTCCAAGCCCGTTATATAGGCGTGATGATCAAGTAGAGTTTGGAAAATGTGAGGCAGAAGAAGGATTGGATAAATTACTTCAATTTTGCGAACCAGTAGAGAAGTTTCTCGAGTCAGCTGCACATGTTGATGGCGAGCCAAGTAGTTTTGATGACTCTGAGAATGGGTCCAAAGATTGCTATGGACAAGAAGACGATTCTGTGCCAGACTCTGTTCATCAATATCTAGTACCACTAAGTTTGATAGAGAGATGGGGAAACGCAATGGATATTGTTTACCCTGATTCAAAGAGATGTTGTTGTTTCACAAAGAGTTATTATCGGTACGTGAAGGGCACTGGTTCCTTATTGGCAACTGTCCAGGTACGTTTTTCCTTGGAGTATACAATATTCCTTTCCTCTCTAATTTGCAAAATGCAAAGAAATGCTTATTTTGAATCTCTGATCACGCAGCCAAAAATCAAGGGGAAGGAATCTGGTTTGAAGGAGCAACGGCTTAGATACTTCACCCCGAGAGAGGTTATAAGCACTATCCTTTATTTTTACTACCAATGCCTCACTGAAAAGTCAGCTTTATTTCAGTGAAAGATGATGTTCAGTTTCTATTTGTTTAGGTAGCTAACTTTCACTCGTTCCCTGAAGATTTTGAGTTTCCGAAGCACATAAGCCTTCGACAGAGGTACGCTGTTTCATACCATAAACACCATTTGAACCAAAAATAGCTACTGTTTATATAGATTATGTGCATCCAAGTATAACAGAGGCACCATTTTGATTTCGATACAGAATATAAACCCACAATATACTCTTATAATCTCACTACTTTGTGTTTGCAATGTGGAAATAATTGAACACAAGAATATAAAACCGTGCTTATAACAGACCGATGTTTCTGACTACACTGTAAAAAATCCCATGAACTCCTTTATTTTTTGCAGATACGCAATGCTTGGAAACAGTTTAAGCGTAGCAGTCGTGGCTCCTCTGCTTCGGTATCTATTCGATTCTTGACTGCAAAATTGGAAGCACTAAGTAACGCTACCAATTACCCGAACCAGCTATTCTCCTGAACAAGTTCTTCTACATTTTACTACATCGTATGACCATATTCTTCAATGAAGCATAACCATATCAATTCATATCATTAAATTTTGTTTTACTGATAGATGGTCAAACTGTTACGTTTTGTCAATTTCACTACCGATTCTTAACTATATGGGCTTGTCTTTCACATGGGCCTTATCCGGCCCAGTGATAACAGTTTTTTTCCCAAATTTTCGTACGAGTAAAAGTGACATAAGTTTGGCATGTCTGCGTCTCCTCTCTCTCTCTATCTGTCGCAGCAAGGGGAAGCATTCTTCGACTGTGAGTCTGTGACGGTGCGTGAAGTTCACGCTCCGGTGGTACCACCTAAGGTTAGTCTTCGGCGATGTTACTTTGACGTGATTACTTGCTTTTTACGCTTTATTCTTAAATTGTTCCGATATTTTCCTCATTTGTCCGTACAAATTGTTTGTTCTTTTGTTCTTTTCCAATTCTTGGCTCTGGTTTTAGTATCACTTGCAAGTAAGTCATCATACAAACCCTAAACTGGTCCAGCTTTGAAGAGAAAAATGTTGCCCAAGGGTGCTATCGATAAGATCCAAGGAAATGTGAGCAAGCCTTGCTTCTGGAAGTGTCTCTCTCCAGGACAGAATTGGAAATCTAAATCCATGGTAACTTAGTTATGACTCTCTTCTCCTTTGATTTTTACTCACTGTTCTTAGACTCTTTCTATTGAAAATTTGCTTTGTTACAAGTTTAGTTCAAACATTGTCCTCTGTCAAAATGCTTATTCTCTGAGCTTTGGATATTGTTGCTAGAACAGTAAGATGTGATAATCCTTTTATGTTTAGTTTAACCCCTTTATAGACAAGTTATTATAGTATTACCCATTTGTTGTTGTTGTTTAAATAAAGCTTAGATCTTTCTATCTTTTAAGAATCGGAGAGATTTTAATGGCACAATGCTTCTTGCTTCTTGTTCTGTGTTGTCTTCATTTTGTGGACTTTTTTTTGTTACTTATTTGACTTGTTTTATCCACTGTTATGGGTTCTTTTACATCGCCTGTTTCGTTCGCTATTAGCTTATGTTTATGCTAGTGTTGGTTCTAGTCATTTTCTATGCATTTCTTGACCTACAAACCAATCGGTTAAGCTCGTTTTTTTGCTTCTTGTGTTTTCCTTTGGAAAGTTATAGCTTTTAGTCTCATGTTTCCTCTTTTTAATGTCAGTATTGTTTTGTTGTTGTCCTGTGTTCTGATTTCTGGGTTTATGAAGAGGATTATTCCGGAAGAGTTTGTGAGAAGAACGCCTGGGGCTTTTGAGCACAGAGTGGTCTTTAGTGTTCGTTGGGAAAATTCCTGGCACATCTGGCTGGAGCGAGACAAGAACGAGCTGTTTATGATAGAAGAAGATTGGAATGAGTTTGTAGATGACAATCACTTAGGTCCAAATGATAATCTGTTCTTCAGGCACGATGAGACGATGAATCTTGAAGTGCAAATCTTTAAGAATAATGGGGACGAGATCATCGATGTACCTCTTGAAGTTGAACCCGAAACTGAACCATTTCATCCTACGCCCAAGAAACCTCACAGGGAGACAACCCCTGCCTCTGCCTCTGTCTCTGGCGGCTCTGGTAAGGCTATTCAAGAATCATCAAACTCAAAACTATTATTTGTTCTTTATGTCAATGTTTGATTCTTGTTGTTTCTGTCTTGGTTCTCAGCAAATGGAGGAACAAATAGCCGAGGAAGACAGCGTTCTAATGATGTCAAAAACCCTGAGCGATACCTCTTGAATCCCGAAAACCCTTACTTTGTGCAAGCGGTGACAAAAAGGAATGACGTTCTGGTAATCATAACAGTTTACATTGTCAGTTTTTGTATTCCATAAAATTTACCAGTTTATATCTGTGGCCTTAAAGCTTAGACTTGTCTTTGTTTCCCACTGTATGCCCAAGTAGTATGTGAGCCGACCGGTAGTTCAGACGTATAACTTGAAGTTTGGTCCGGTTAAGTCCACCATTACCTACCTTCTTCCCGGGGGAAAAAAGGAGGAAGGTGAAACTAAGATCTACAACGGGCAACCTTGTTTCAGTGGCTGGTCGGTTCTATGTCGAAGGCACAATCTGAAAATCGGAGACTCGGTGGTTTGTGAACTTGAACGCTCCGGTGGTCTGGTTACGGCTGTTAGAGTGCATTTCGTCAATAAAGACTAGACCAGTCCTTTCTAGTAACAAAATGTTATTAATAACTTTCATTAGTAATGCTTAAATGTGACAATCATGTTTTAGTTTAACGAACTTCTATGTTTTTAGATGTCTCTGACTCTTAGTACAAACCATTTGGAGAATACTTGTTTTGTCAATTCACTTGCTATCTATTGTAGAATAAGGTGGGCCATTTTGTTAATGGGCCATACCCGGCCCATTAATATAGTTTGGCACAGTGTTGAGTCTTCTCTCTTTCTCAAAGCAGAGATACTTACGGGAGAAGAACAGACGCAGCAGCGAGAGGAAGCTTCTTCGACTGTGACGGTGCGTGCCTTTCACGCTCCGGTGACGTTATTTATAACGCAATTACTTGCTTTTTACGCATTTTTCTTTATTTTCTTCTGACCTAAGATATTTACCCCTTTGACCGTACAAAATTTGCTTCTTTCTTCGTGAAATAACGCATATTAAAGGTTTGATTTTTATCCGCTTTTACATGCAAGTCATCTTCGTCTTTCTTTATGAACCCTAATTCTCAGAATCGATCCAGCTTTTGAAGATAACAGAATGTTGCCTAAGAGTGTTACTGATAAGATTCAAGAAAATGTGAGCAAGCCTTGCTTTTGGAAGTCTCTTTCTCCTGGACAAAACTGGAAATCTAAATCCATGGTAACTCAAACTTTGTCTCTCCTCTTTTCTAATCTTTTGATGTTATTGAATGTTTCCATTGGATTTCTTTGTTTGCCCTAAAGATCTATTGTTCGTTTGTTGTTGTTGTTCGGAAAAGCTTAGATCTTTCTATCTTTCAAGAAACTTTTGAGGAGATTTTAATGGCACAATGGCTCCAGCTTCTTGTTCTGCTTTGTGAAATTTCTTGTTACTTATTGACAAGCTCGTGTTTTAGCTTTTAGTCTCATGCTTCCTTCTTCTAATGTCAGTATCGTTTGTTGTTGTCAACTGTTATGATTTATGGGTTTATGAAGAGGAGTTTTCCGGCGGAGTTTGTGATAAGCACGCCCGGGTCTTTAGAGCACAGAGTGGTGTTTAGTGTTCGTTGGGGCAATTCCTGGCAACTTTGGCTGGAGCGAGAAAAAGAAGATTTGTTTATGATAGAAGAAGATTGGGATGAGTTTGTGGATGACAACCATTTAGGCCCAAATGATAACTTGTTCTTCAAACACGATAACACGATGTTTCTTGAAGTGCAAATCTTTAAGGATAATGGGAAGGAAATCATCGATGCACCTCTTGAAGTTGAACCTGAAACTGAACAACTTCATCCTACTACACGTAAGAATTCTCACAAGGAGACAACCCCTGCCTATACCTCTGCTTCTGCTTCTGGTATGGATATTCAGATAGAATGAATTGTTTTGATGCTGTTTAAGCTCAATAGTATACTTTTCTTTTCTCTCTAATGCCAAAGTTTGATTCTTTTTGTTTATGTTTTGGCAGAATTCTCAGAAAATGGTCGAGAGAGACAAAGTTGTGCTGATGTCAAAAACCCCGAGCTATATCTTCTAAACCCGAAAAACCCTTACTTTGTGAAAACGCTGTCGAAAAGGAATGACGTTTTGGTAATAATAGCAGTGTTTTCATCAGTTTTGATTCTAGTTTATATCTGTCGCCTCTAAATCTAAGACTTGTTTTTCTCTCTATATCTCATGTATGTGCAACTAGTATGTGCCCAAACCGGTGATTAAGAAGTATGGCTTGAAGTTTGGTCCCACTCATTCCCCGATGCATTACCTTCTTCCCGGAGATAAAATCAAAGGCTTGACTAAGCTCTATGGTGGTGGCGATGCCCCTTGTTTCAATGGCTGGGTGGGTCTATGTCGAAAGTACAATCTGAAAATCGGAGACTCTGTGGTTTGTGAACTTGAACGCTCAGGAGATCTGGTTACTGCTGTTAGAGTACATTTCATCAATGAAAATATGAGATGAGTCCTCTCTAGTCTCTTTTCTTAACATTAGTGTTTACCAAACTTACTATTGTAATGTTCATATGCGACCCTTATGTTGCTTTAACAAAACTTACATGCTAAATTTCTTATCCTTCTCTTGCTTTAGTGCAATAGTAGTCCAACTTAAGAGCTTGCGTTTGACTTGGTAGTATATGCATAAACCTTTATTGTAAGTTTTGTAACTCTCCATAAAAATCAAAAGGCCTAGATACATAAGATAATGGCAACGTTTCTTTTGCCTTCTCATACAAGAAAATACAATATAAGCAAAGGCCCATGTGCCTATATAAAACCCTAACCTCTGTTTTTTCACTTTCTCTTTTGAATAAAATCAAAAACACACCAAAGACAATTTAAGAAATAAAATAAGACCACACGCTTCTTTTTCTTGTAATAGGATTTGTGTTTCATCTATGGTTTACGAACGCTTATAAGCTTGACATCATCGATCACAGGCCCACACAATGACGAGAAATCATCGCTTCTCATGGCATAGAAAGTGCTGTAGAACATAATTCTTGATCTGCTCGAAACCGCTACAAACCGGATAGAAGCTCGTTTAAACCCTCCGGTGCCTTGCGACTCATAAGGGACCTTAAGTGTCTCTTTTCCTGCAAAAGCCTCAACCACCATTGATCCTTTGCAAGCGTTGTTGGCATCTCCAACCGCAAAAGAAAGCACGTAAGTTTTCCCAATGATGGTACGAACCACTTGAGCGATGGCGCTCTCTTTACCAGCTACAAGCTCAATAGCTCGGCGACCCTGTGGGACTGAGAAATGCTCAATGTCTACGTACTTGACAGCTTTGAGAGACTCCACCATCCAGCCAGGTAAAGGAGAGTGGTCATCTTCTATGAACGGTGGAATCAAAACTCCCGTTGTCGCGCCGGGTAGTACTAATGGACCTTCTTCAAATCCTCCGTTTTTCAAAATGTTCTCTGCCATATCAAACATAGAAAAATCATCACTATTCCATATATATCATAACATCACATGATCAAGAATCATAAAAACAGAGCAAGAAACAGAGTATTTATTATAGTATTTAGCTTACTATTAGTTGGTCGAGGAGGGTAAAGAGATCTCATGGCGACACCATCAATAAGTGGACCACAAGCTGGATCTTCCTCAACACCAGGATTATGAATCACAACTTCAGCAACTTCACTCTCAGCTTGAAACGCCCAAGCATACAAATCCCACCCACTACTACTATAAACCGTTTGCACCGGAATCACACCGGAGTCAGGTGCTACAGATATGTTAAGCCTCTCGTCTTGTGCACAAGTCCTAGCAGCACTAAAAGTGAGCGAGTAATACATTCCTTTAACCACTTTAAGTCTTTGTTTGATCGATGCTTCGTTCCCTAACCGGACTGCGAATTTACCGGCGGGAACAACGAGAAGCATGTCTCCTTGTTTATGTCCTGATTTGATGTATTCGACGAATCCTGTGACTTCCCAGTTTGGTATTGCTAGTTTGTTTAGTATTTCTGTTCCTTTCATGTCTGATGGTTTTGGTCCTAGCTCGAAATCTCCGTTTGGTAACATGCCTGTGGAAATGACCGAATTGTCCTTGGGAATATTAGGAATTTTGGAATTTTAAAATAGAAAAAGATATATAGAGCACGTGAGGTGTGTCCGAAGACAGCCTAACTGGTCCTAATGTAACATGAACTAAAGGACCTACTCTCAACTTCATTGATTGGAAATGTCCAAAAACTTTATTGTGTTGTGTTTGTGTCAGAAACATGGGCAAAGCAGTAATTTTTATTACATCGGCTTCTTAAAAAATCTAAATTCTAAAGCGTAACAAAACGATTTTTTTTCTTTCATTTTTGTTTGTTTTTTAAGTACTATCGCTAGCAGAGACAGGTTCGTACGAGTGATATCATCGTAACCAACCACTTTGAAGAAATTTTTTGGTTACCAGCATTATACTGATTATTCATATCACAAATATAATCAAAATATTTTATTTTCTCGATTCTTTATAAAATTCTGAGTAAATGAGTTTTTGTTCCCATTGAATTTGTGAAAAAAAGAAATGTAATTGCCATAATTTACTGTACATAAAGGTTGGAAATTGGAATTGGGGTACAATTTAAGTTTTTTTTCTTCTTCAAAATAATTTTAACATACTTTAAAGTAGTAAATCGGAATTTTGTTGTTAATGTAGTAAATCGGAATTGGGGGAAGAAAAATGCATTTATATAATGAATTGTTGTGTATGTGTGTAAATAAAGTTACCGTCACGGAAGGAGACGGTGGACTTAGCGGCGGTTGCGGTGGCGATGAAAAGAAGGAAGAAAGACACGACGGTGACGGCTCCCATTTTGACGGACACCAGAGAGAGAAAGAGATGAGTGTAAAATGTAATTGGCAAAGAGAGTTGTGGCTATTGCTTATAAGGAGATAGAACTATAAAAATGACCTTAAAGGTTGCAATATATTACGAGTGTGTGCCACTAAGGCTAGTTGGAGTATCCCACGTGGGGTTGTGACCTCATTCCTTTCCAGAGATTTGGAACCTTTGGGGTTACTTTCGGAATTAAAATTTTGTGAAAAAGTGTTGTTTTGATGCAATTATTTTTGCTGTTTATATAGTCAAGCTCTGTTTAGGCTGTGACTGGGGAAGCCAGAAGTGTCTAATTGGGACAGGTAAACAGAGGATTAGAGGTAATTGCGTATAAACAGGTAATGGGCGGGAGTATTTAAATGTACTATTAGAAATATACGGAATAAAATACTAAACTTATTAAAATACGGTAACGGAGCGGATTCAAATAATTTCAATCGTTAAATTTACAAATCGAATTTTCACTAGTTTTGATAAAGATCACATCTTTAAGATATGAATATTTTCGAATAATTTTGAGATATTTAGAATATGTTCTAATATCTAATTCATTATACATGTTTGTTAGGATAAATTAAATTGTCGATTTTTTTTGAATGGGTATAGGAAGACGGACCGATGGACGGTGGAAAGAGTGTTTCAAAACCGCCATAGACTAAAGACTACCAAAAACAAAAACACTAAACAGTGGCGGAGCTATGTTGGTGGGAGTGGGGTTAACTGACCCCAATAACTTTTATATTTTGAAAGATTTGTTATTAAAAATTAAGAAAAATTAGATAAAATGGTTAAAATTTCTTGAGTTGACCCCATTAACATAGCTTCAATTATCTATTCTTCTATTCATACAATATAATGACCCCATTAGAAACTTATTCTAGATCCGCTACTGACACTAAACATACTTTTTTTGCTTAGAAACTAAACATACTAAGAGGAAAAAAAAAAAAACTAAACATACTACAATATACTTATGATCCCTTATCCACATGCTATAAACACTATCGTCTAAGATTGTGAAAATAATTGACATTTTTCTTTGGCAATCTTACATCTGAATCTACGTGACAAATATGATTAATTATGATAATAACTAGGAAATGCCAAATTGGTCGTTTAGATCATCGGTGGAGAGATACTATTACTAGGAGAATCGTTTATCGTGGCATGTGTTACACCACTTACACCCAAAAATCTTTTCCTATCGAAACTTTTTTTCTGTCTTCTTCCTGCTCTTTTTTGTTTTGTTTCTTGGCTGTATTTTGAAAATAATAAAATTGAGAAATGTGTATGGTATTAAGGGCGCCGTTCAGTGGCTAAGAATGCGGTTTCCAAAGTCGGCCATGAAATTGGCCTCAGAAAAATTCAGAATGGTGTCTTCTTCTCATTCTTATCGGTCCAAGAACGGGGAATTGTATTATTTTGATTTTTTAAATTATCCAAATTCACTTCTAACTGTCTCAATGTTCGGTTTTTGGACTGTAGCTCCGCCAAAACCACCAATATTTGCATTTCTTACTCTTATAGATCAGTTTTTTAAAATTCTAATGTGTTTTATGTTCTCGGTCTTAACTTGTATGATCTCAGTGGCCAAATCATTAAACTAACTAGATGTGTAACATGTGTTGCTCTCTCCTTATTGTTATGTTCGGTGTGTGTTGTAAGAACGGTTTACGAAGTCGCTCGCTCACTAGAACATGTGTATGTGTTGAAAATGAGGTACGCCACTTCACATGGTCATGGTCGCATGGGCAAATGTTTTAACGCTGATATATGGCATCAAAGATTTGGACACCTTTCTATTAATATACCTTTCTAGGAAATAGAATAGTATTGATTTTGATATAGTCTCTTGCGTTAGTTGTTTGGCGTTAAAATTAATTAGATATCAATTGAAAGCTTATGAAATTTAACAACTTTGATCATCTATAAAAAAATAGTAACACGTAGCAGCAATGAAAGAATTGGTTCTGATGGATCCAATATAAATGTTGATTACGACTTTAAGACCCAAGTTCGAACAAACAACAATCACTATTTAAAATGTTGAATCTAAAAAAAGATAAATTAGAGTATAATAAGATGGAGAGAAGAACCAAAAAAAGACGAGGAACCGTCGAAAACGTGGGTGGGGCATGGGTAACGAACGTAGTGGAACCTAGGCCTGGGCAAAATACCCAGAACCGAATACCCGAACCGAAAAACCCGAAAAAATATCCGAACCGAACCCGAACCGATTTTTAAAAATACCCGAATGGATCCTAGACCTCCTACCCGAAAAAAACCCGAACCGAATCCAATACCCGTGGGTACCCGAATACAAATATACACCTAAAAATATTAGTTATATTTATACTTATAATATCTTAAATACCTAAAATTACAATCATAAATCCGAATATACTAGGTATTTTTGAGTAATTCGGATACATTTGGATATATTTGGTTAAAAAGTAACTAATGATGTAGTTTTCTTTTGGGTAATTTTAGTATTTTTAGATATTTTTGGTTATATTTGGGCAAAAAGTAACCAATGTTTTTTGAGAAATCGGGTATTTCGGTTAGATTTGGGTATATACGAGTAAAAAACCCGAACCCGAAAATATTTCGGGTATTTTTGGTTATTTTCGGGTATTTTGTTTTTTATTAAAATACCCGAACCGACCCGAATCCGAACCGAATTTTTAGAATACCCGAATAGGTCTCGACCCCCTATCCGAATAGACCCGATACCCGAAAAAAAAGAACCGAACCCGAACGGGTACCCGAATGTCCAGGCCTAGTGGAACCCATAGAAAAAAGAAGAGATCATAGGAAAAGGCAGGATCATGGCTTTGTCTCCTCTTCCTTGTACACTTCTTTTACTCTTTCACGGGCCCATTGCCTCATGACTCGATCTCTTGTACAAAAAAAAGCTATCGATAACCTTTTTTTATATATTAGTAGGTCCGTTATAATTATATAATTTATATTGGTAAAGACAAAATACTATTTGAGGTACGTTGTATTCATATAATTTACGTAGTATTTATTAGGTAGGGATGTTGAATCCAAAAATTTTGTTTGATTTTGGTTCGGATTTTTCAGATTTTTTCTGTAAAAATTGTATAAACAAGTTTTCAATCTCTTTAACAAAGATAAAAAAAAGTTTTCAAATCGATTCTTCGGATCAAATCGTTATTTTTTTCGAGATCAAACATCTCTCGTACTATTAGGTTAATAAATTTAAAAATGTATAGTTAAAAACCAAAGTTGACAATATAGAGAGTTTTGAGCATGATACTGAATTTCTTTATTGTGCAAAGATACTGAAAATTTAAGTTATTAGAAACCGTTTAAGAGAAAAATTGAATTGCACTTGTAACAAGACATTTAACAGCAAAAATTATCACTTTTCAAATAATGCGTAATTTTAGTTTGTCGCTCTAAATTCGAACTTAGAAGCACCAAAATCCTCTCAAAAACCGCATAAGAGACAAATGATAGTAAGACTGATTGGTGGAACTGTGGCAATAAACTATTGCTTTAACATATAGGTACATAAATTTTGGCTTTTGGAAAATAGGCTATAACTATTTTGGAAAATAATGCAATACAATAAAGAAGTTAATAAATCACCACAAAACAAAAGAAAAATAAACTATTTAATAATCATCAATAATTATTGGCAATTTGGCATTTGGCAAGTGAGAGAAGAAAAAAATAGGAGTAAGTCTACTCACATTTAATTCAACATTGTCATTTTTTTTTCTGTTAAGTAATTCATTAATGAATTTAGGCAAAGGACCCTCCTGTGCTAATGTGACTCACATGGAAATGTCTTCAAATACAAATCCATATCGTTCTCTACTGACACCACTCTATTAAATACTATACTAATTATCTTATAACTTATCTACCTCAACACTTATATATTCACCAGACCGTGCAAAGCATCGTTGTATATGATTCATGTAAAAAATGTTTTAAAGAGGTATCTTTTGAGGAATCGTGTAAACATTAACATCTACCTCAATCAAGGTTACATTAGACATCAATCTTATGGATAAGTTCAGTGTTTAAGTGAACCGTACATAACCATTAAAGGTAAATTGTGTAGTAGATTGGAGTCTAAAAGAGAAATAAAACAGCGAGAAGATAAGGATCCGTTTGGTTAAGTGGGCTTTAGTTATAGTACAAGAGACTAAGATGCTTAAGGAATGGTTCTTTGGTAGAGAGGTAAAGCTCCCAAAGCCTCTCGCTCAGCTCTCTCCCGCTTCACCTGCAAATGAAGTATCATATGTAAGAACTTTGCTATATGAATCTTCTCACCACTACAAGATAGATAATATATACCAAAGTTCATGAAGTATCGTGTGTAAGAACTTTGCTATATGATTCTTCTCACCATTGCAAGCTATATAGTACCAAAGTTCATCATACAAGTTCATTACAATTATATAAACAAGCAGCTGATCATTATTACTCTAGCAGCAGAATATATGTATATAAAAATTTGAGCAGTAGCTCAAATCAACTTTGGGTAGGTTTGAGCTGGCAAAAGAAAGTTAGGCTTAGAAATAACAAGGGACTTACAAGAGCCAGCATATCTTGGAGGTAGCTCCTGAATGGTGTCTGCATTGCCTGTGAAATCATAGAGACAAAGAAAGAAAAAGAATTACATAAGCTTCTATCTCACAGCTAACAAGCACTATCTCAAAAACACTTCTTTCATGGACTAGATATTACACAGCTTATCAAGTTACAATTATACTAAAGAACCAAAAGGCTTCTTGTGTAATGTTGTTCACCAAAACAGGTCTTTGAAAACAGAGTGTTCTTGATCCTAAATACAAGTCTTAAGTCCAATCTTGCAAGATCTATCGAACCTACAAACTCCATAGCTCTATAACTCTTTAGCTCTGTTCTCACTTAGTAAGAGAAACATACCTGAAGATTATCTGGGAGGTACTCATGTTTCATAGAAAGATCCATTGCACGCTTTAAACGCTGGTTCCGAGCATCAACGATCTCTCTCGGTAACCGATTAAGAGCTTCCTTAATATCCAAGTCATACAAAGGATCATAGAGATCGTCGTATCTAAGACCTAAAGCCTCGTAAAATTCCCAAAATCAGCCAGTAGAAGAGAATTAGGGTTTGGTTTCTAGGGTAAGAGAGAAAGAAACAGTACCGTATCTTCGAAGGCGATTAGAAACAGACTTCATATGCATACGAGCTAAGAAATTCTTCCTGGGATCAACTAATCTCTGGAGAAACGACGCCATTATCTTCTTCGATTGTGTTGAAAACCTTTCGCTGTTTGTAATTTAACCCGGGAACGAAGAAGGAAGAAGAAGCATCCAGAGACATCTGATTAAACGACGTCGTAGTCGTAGGTACTCTTATTGGGAAACGGCATCGTTTGCACTCCTATTAAAAACGGCGTCGTATGACTCGCCGAATAAAACTTTTGTTATCGTTGACTTCTTACGCGTCTACGTTTACTTACCAACGCGTTTACTAGTTGGTCGATTTAAGATTTCGTATTCTCCATTAAACTTTAGTGTTAAAGAAAGCTTTCAGATTATTGGAATGGGAAATTGTCTCTCAGCTTCGACACCTCCCACCCAATCAAATGCTCCCATTTCAGGTAATCTCTGCGAATTTAAATACTTTAATTGACTTGAATGTTACTATAATGGATATGATATATATAAGTTTTGTTATATGTATAGTGGAGGAGGGTGTGAAAGTCTTCACGGTGGCAGAGCTGAAGAAAGCGACTAATGATTTTGGAAACCAGATGGAAATAGGAGAAAGCTTGGGATACATCAATCCCAAGACGTTATCTCCGGCAAAGAATGGTGTTGGCATGGCCGTCGCGGTCAAGAAAATTTACTTAGCCAATGAACAAGCTTTTCAAGATTGGCTTGTAAGTAATTATATCATCTACATACATACCAAACTGCAGATTCATATATGTATGTGAATATAGGTTGTGTGAGGACCTTGGGCAAAACCAATAGAAAATTAAAGTTTCTTCTAACTTTTTTGATGTTTTTGGACTACCCATAGTAAACGCTTATGTTGCCTAGAGACGGGCATGTGTGTCTTAACATTAGAGCTGATATTTTTGTAGGTTGACGTAGAGTTTCTACGACATAATTCTCATCCAAGCTTGGTGAAACTCATTGGCTACGGTTATGATCGTGATATGTTGTTTATTGTGTCTGAATACTTTCCAAATGGAAGCTTAGGAAGTTACATTGATAGAGGTAAGGAAGTTAAGTTTATTCATCTCCTTTTCTTCATTATATTTTGTGAGTAGAGTCAAAGCAAGAAGATTATTTCTTGCTCTTAAGTAAGAGCTTTATAAAATAGATAAATAAGATAAAAAATGAGACAGCTCATTAGAGCTTTATTTACTGCAAGAGAGGAAAAAACTAATTAGTGGCAACTCTTCTAGGTTAACTTCATTGATGTTCGTTAGATGACTATATACATGAATCTACTTTCTTGAATAACTTAACTACATGAGTTTGTATTGGATTGGTCTAAATTCATAATCTTGGGCTTGTCATGTTTGATTCAATACATTTACCATTGTGTGTCCACATTTCACTAGAAGTACTTATTCAGGGTGGAAAAAGTTTTATTTCTTGCTAGCTCCCCACATGTTAGTTGTTAAACACCCGAGCGAAAATCCAAGTGGTCCACACGCAAAGTTTGCTCACAATAGAATGTGGATTCCAATTCTGGAGCTGTCATACGCTCTTAACCTTAGATCCAATACTAATTCATCTTCCTTTTGGCTTTAATGGTTTATATAATATATATCACAGATAGTCGTCCAAAGTCATTGTCGTGGGAGACACGACTCAAGATATCCATAGGAGCGGCTCAATGTCTTGCCTTCTTGCACTCTAGGAAGCAAGCCGGCCTCTACCGCAGATATCTCACCGCTTCTAAAATCCTGCTCGATTCGGTACAGATTCACCTTTCTTTTTTTTTCTTGAATACTTGCTCCTTACCTTTTTTTTTTACTTGCTCCTTACCTTACAAATGACATGTATGGGATATGCAGGACTTCAACGCAAGAGTTTCCTATTTTGGAAAGCCAAAAGTTTCTCTTGATGAACTGGTACACGCCACCCAGTTTGCAAATGAAGCACCGAGATATCAATATCCACCTCCCGAATACATACTCTCAGGCAACAATCTTCTGCTTCATCCTTATATCTTCTAGTTAAAAGTGACCATTAAATTCTGGCGCAGCGTAAGGACTTAGATAGGTAGCTCAATCAAGAGAATAGGGATTTCTCTTGAGACCTACTTCGCTCAATCAAGAGATTAGAAGCAATCACTTGAGACCGACTTCTTGTTTTGATGAATTGAATCAAATCAACACAAGGAATGAGAAAACTCTCTTTTATTAGTTTATCAAAAGCTGCTGAAAACCTTAACCAAAAGAATGCTTATATAGCTTCTAAACCTAGGTCACAACCGACGTAGGAGAAGTAATTAAAAAGACTTAAACACCCTAAGAAGTCTTTCTTAAGTAACAAGAAAAAGGAAAATAGCCAAAACACTTAAAGGAAAATAGGATAAAGAAATGTAACCAAACGGCTACGTTTGGTTTGTCGCCAAAGCTATCACGATGCTGCTGCATCAAATTCAAAGAGACTAACTTTAATTGATTGCAATAACCAAATGAAGGGATGTCGAACATGGCGGGCGATGTGTACAGCTTTGGTGTTATACTACTGAAAATGTTAACTGGTTTAGGAAAGTACCTCACAATCTCAGCAAAGCGAGACATAAAAAATAAAAAGGACAACATTGAGGAGATGATCGATCCAGATTTGAAGAATAGCTATCCTCTTGAAGCGGGAAGACTTATGTGCGAGCTTATTAAACAATGCCTTGAGGTAGACCCGAAGATACGACCAACCATGCAACAAGTGCTAGATAATCTGAATGCTATAGCCCAGATTTGAGGACAACTATATAAGGGTTATAAATGCTGAAAACATTGTTTCACTATAAGACAGTTATAACATATAGTCAATGAATGCATATATGCTTCTTCTTTTTTTTTGTTTTTTTTTTACATTTGTGTACAATATAATAACTCGTATATGACCAGAAGTGTTAAGAAACAAGACCTAATTCTCCATTCTTATCCACTCAAGAACAGAGCTATATGCTAATAAAATTTGAATGCGATAGCTAAGATTTGAGGACAAACTAAGGGTTAATTATAACTGCTGCAAACATAGTTTCACTTTAAGAAAAATTATAACATAGTCAATGTATGTGTATGCACAAATACATTTGTATACAAAAAAACAAGTACAAAAGATTCTGTTTTTAATGTGGTTCAAAGGTTACTACACGCTTCTCTTCAGGCTCCGGGTGCACCTAACACAAGATTCTTGTTTATGCATTTTTAAAAAATATAAATTCTTGGGTTGTGTAGAATAGACATAAAAGATTTTGATTACCTCTTTAAAACTTATGGTTCGGATCCTGATTTCACCTCTGCTTGTAGTCATCTCATCCAATATCTCCGCGTCGTAGAATTCATCTTCACCTTCTGATAAATGATGAGAAGACCCTAGTTTCTGCTCACGAAACAGAAACCTCTTGACTCAATTGAAAGTTTGAAACTCATTAAAAGACCAGAACATACAAAAGCGAAAAAAGCTTTACCCGGTATGCGAAACTTGAGTGTTGTTGTATAGGTGCTGCTACTATTTCTTCATAGTCAGAAGCATCTAGCACTTGAAGATGTTGGGGATGGAATAACTTGGGAAGCAAGTGTTCTCTTATACTTATGAGAAGAAAGAAGAGCGCCGGGAAAAATATCCCGGCCATAGGAATCCATGTCATACCATAACACAAGAGAAAATAAACCAACTGGAAAAGTGTGAATGTTACAATCACTCTGTATGGTACTAACTCCACAAATGAAGCATGTACTCCTTCCAAGACTCTACATTAGATGATGAAACCAGTGATTAAGAAAAGCAGAACTTTCTAAAAATAGACTAAAGAAAAGAATTTATATTAACTAACTTGAAAAGACGGCTAGGAGGAATAAAGAGAAGCAACAATCTCTCCCAGAATTGGTTTCCCGGGAGACTGTCTATCGCCATATAAGCAAAGTAACCCCAAAGTATAGAACTTGGGATCATTTTGATGACTGGCACTGCAAGAAGTGTTAAACCAACAAGAACTGATTGCAAAAGATTGCTCAGTCTTTGCTCGTTTACTCTAACCGGTAAATTAGCCTCTATATGAACATCGGGATCGAATTTTCCTTTCGTATCGCCTCCTTCTTCTGGTCTCATTACAACTTCTTTCAACTCTTTTAAATCTGTTGCTACTGAATTATCCTGCAAAAATTTTGATTCTTTTTTACTTAAAACCTTTTCTTTCCATAGATATTGGAGAAGGCATTACTATTAACCTGAGGCGGGCATGTCTCCATCTCTATAAACACTGATTGCATTCTCCCATATATTTCTGATTTGCTAGCTTTCATTTTCATACACTCCTTTGCTTTCTTCACCATTTTCTTTCGTGTCAGCTGCAAAAAAAATAGCATCATCTCTGTTTCAACTCTTCTTCTTTTCATATGTATTTGTTCTTACTTGACGATTGAGAACCGCAAGACTCTTGGTGTGCATTGGAGCTTGAGGAAGAACACCATTTGAAGGAGGAAGTCCAAGTAGTCCACATATCAAAGTCTATAAAACCATCATAACAACAAGATTCAATTGGTTTCTCCATGAAGAAAGTATCTTTAAATCAGTTTTAAGAACATTAAAAACTAACCATAATTCCAAGCAAGAAGATGTCATAGTGATAAGCAGAAGGATTCTTTAGATTAAACTCTTTCTGTTGTGCCATTTGTGAAGCTACACTATGGTCGAAGAAGTAAAGTCCTGCTATCATCACACCGGGTATAAACGCAGCAAAGATATACATTACCGGTACCTTCCCCATGTCCTGTATATAATAATGTTTGCATAATTCTATAAGTTTTTCATTTGTATTGATCATTGAATCATGTTTTGCATATCTTAAATCTTACCTTGATTACAGTCCAATGATACAATGAAGCTGGCTCCCAAGGAAGAGGACAGAACAGTCGCCGAGGAACACTTGGAAGGACTTCACTAGGAATTGTGTAAGACAATGCCGTCCATAACAAGACCATTAAGGGAACACCGTAATCTCCAATGAAACTCCGAAGCCATCCTATTGTTTTTAGTGGTCTTAGTGAATATCTATGTACACCAAGGAACTAATGTAAATAGACAATGACGTACCAAAGCCGTATTTCCATGATTTCGCTCGCCTACTCTTTAGCGCGGTGATTACAAGGCCTAACGAGAAAATTACCGCAAGCAACCCATTTGCATACAACAAGAGGAAGTGAGATTTCTCTGTTTCTTGATTTTTAATTTCGGGGGCGTTAAACTCGCTGATCAATCCCTGAAAATGTATATTATAACTAAGCATGTTAATTGTAGCATATATGACTTATTAACCTGGAAAATGAAGTTGGTTATTTACCTTTATAGCTTCTTGTAAAAACAGAACAGCAATCAACATGCCAAAAAGTTCCCCAGCGATTCTCGTAAACCTCGTGATGATTGTGCCCGCGTTAAATATCGAAAGAAGGATAAGCAAAACTGAAGTCCATACACAAACCCTGCAGAAACATATAACAACAAACTCTTAGAAAACAGATTACATTCACTAACAAGACTATTTATTTTATGTGATCATTACCATGCAACCCAAGCTAGGTAAAGTTCTCGACCGATATCTGGTCTACTAATGCAGAAACTGTAAAGATAAGTATACATAATGATGGTTGGCTCTGCAACTCCAAGTATCAACAATGGTTGTCCACCAAAAATCGCATGGATGATTCCGCATATCGAAGTAGAAGCTAATGTTTCCACTGCACTTAGAGCTCCACCTTTTAACCACAAGTTAAATAAAAATCATCAATGGTAATTCTCTAGGAGATTCATAAAAAAATAGCAACATGAAAAAGAGATATTTATATATATATATATACCTGTATGTTTACTTAATTGCTCACCAAAGGCAACTACAGGAAGAGACGATGCAAAGAAAATATAGCAAGTCGGAGCCAAAATTCTAGTGTAACATTGAAATCAAGAATTCAATGTTTAACATCAAATATACATTTCAAGAAAGATTGAAATTTAATTAACCTTACCTTATACCGGTTTTTATGCCACGAATCCAATCTTGTTTGTAACATCTTCGTCTACCTTCGATATCTCGAAGTATTCCCTGAAATGGACCTCCTTCTCCTTCACTCTCCATTGGTGCATCAATCCAGAGTACCTAGCGTGTTACACACGCATTCACAATTACAACCTAAAACAACATAATTCTAGAGAAATTGAGAGTTCAATAGACCATTAGAAATAAGCTTCTAAACATATATTAATGAATCGACTTCAACATACCTGGAAAGCTCAAGAATCGAGGAATATGTTAGACAGAGAAGGAAGAAATCAAAGGAAATTCATAATAGACAAGACAGAGAAACTTGTATTGGTGAAAATAAAAACATGATTAATAGTAAACCGCGTAATTTTTCCACACATGATTCTAACTTCTAACAGTTTCAACAATAATGGTGTTATGAAAACTAATTAAACTCCATGACACGTTAGCCTGGTTAGTTTGTTTTGATGATAAATAGTTTGACCTTTATTTGGTTGATAAAACGTAATTAGATTTTCTAAATTAATACTAAGTATTAGTGTTTTCTAAATTAGCGTTCTTTGAAAAAAGGTTCACTCAAATACTTTTTGAGGATGTGACCTAAACGTTTTCATCCACTGAGTAGAGAATCTATTAGTGGAAATGACAAAATTAAATTTTAATTAGAAAATGTTGATGTGTAATTTTTCTTGGCCAGTTGATGAACGGGTTTTGAAATTCTTAAACACTTAACTTGACCATTGAAATTTTAAGTAATAATAACAAATTGTAACTTCATATATTCTTATGAATATTCCATATGCATTACACAATCTTTTTTATTTGACATTACATTATCTTAATAAATATTACACAAACTAGAGCAATTATTGTAATAACTAATGTGAGAACTTTGGACGTCCATATTGATTTCTTGATTTGTCATTGGAGCTACTTGTAGATTCACCCTTTTTTCGGTAACGTATTATGCACCGGTAGATAACTCCGACGACAATAATTAGTAAGACTATAACCAAAAGTATAACATAGAATCAATGTTGAAGAATGCACTAGGCGCTAAACAGGCATTCGTGACCTGACGTTTAACGCTTGGAACGCTTAATCGGAGTCTAGGCGATTTTAAGCGGTTTAAACATTTACAATATGACACATTATAAATATGATACCTTATTATATAACATACCACTTTTGCTTTGTCCAAATTACAGTAAGATGTTTAAAAATTAAAAGTTATTATCAATTCTGAAATGTCAACTTAATACATATAGAGATGTTTCTTTGTTTCCTTCTAGAAACATAGTTTGAGTCTTTGACGATGTCGCGTGCTTGTAAATTGTTTAGACAAAAAAAGTAAACAAATGGTTTAATGATACTCCTACAAGACTATTTGCTTTCACAAATCCATTAAAAGTTCAAATATATCTAAGAAACTCTCTTTAAATTAAAATTCTAATAAATACTAATTAACTCTATGAAACCAAAAATAATCCGACCGAAGCCGATAATAAACCTAACCAACCGAAACCACACCTTGGCCTTCCAAGATTCCGGCTACCGCTTGAACGATGGTGGTGCGACATACCCGAAAAAAACGGATACCCGCCTAGCCCACCGCGAGATTGCCTTAGACGGTCGTATCCGCCACCACGTCCTCCTCCTACCTTACCGCCACCACGTCCTCCTCCTCCCTTACCGCCACCGCCTTTTCGGATATAAACTGCTAATTTCGGCGTCTTTCCAACGTAGCCAATAACTCTTTCTGGCTTGGATATGGTGGAAACATGGCTGGTGTCAACGGAGGCTAGACGTAAGGATCGTGAGTCTACAACGGAAACAAAGTTGTGTTGGAAATAAAGAACGAAGAGAAAATTGAAAAGCAACGACGTTTTTGTCAAACCCATGTTTATGCTTGTGCCTTCTCAGCCCCTCTTTTTTTGACGTTTTAGATTTATATAAGGGTCATCGAATTTTACTTTTCGTGAAATAGAAAAATAGAATTGTGAGAAATCAGACGCGGTAGATCTTTCTGCAAATTTGACATAGGAATTAGTTGCCAATTTTATTTATCTGTTAATTTTTGATAATAATAGTTATTTCTACAATTTATATACTGAATTCATCAAGTTTTATTTTGTCAATTTGGTGTTTATATTCTTATTTTTAGAGAATAATTATTATTTTCACTTAAAAACCAAGAGTGGTGGAAAAAAGCCAAAATGAAATTACATGCTTTAGATAATCTCACTAATATTTTATTCATGGATTGGTGAACAAATTATAAAATTTGAGTTATAAACGTTTTTAAATACGATGTGGTTGGGTTGCATACAATGTAAAAATGATTTTTTGGTTTTACATTCATTCAAAAAAAAAATCAATGAAATTGCAAAAACTCAATCATTGATCTGTTAAAAGTTAAACTTGATTTTGAATTAATAATTATTGGACCAATTATCCAATAATTATTTACTTGGCCAATTCCAGGTTCTAGAGTTTTCTCTAGAAATATCATCATCTCCGCCTCTTTTGTTCATGTTGTGATTCTTTTTTAATTTCCTCTATAGGTTGGTCAAATGGTTTGGCTCATGGATGTGCTTAAGTTGGAAAATCTTGATTTGTGCCTAACGCCTTAAAAGATGTTAGCAAACTGGACGTGACAAGGAATGTTGAGTGCTAATCACGCAAAGAATCTGACCATTGAGACGTCCAACACTATAATTTACTCCAATGCTGAAAATCAAAGAAAAAGATTCTTCTTATGCAAGAAAATTTAACTTTTATCACAATTTTTTTTTTTTGACTTAGATTGGATAAGAGAAACATGGCAATTCAATTATTTAGTTACTGATCAGACTAGATCATCAAGTAACAAGTCTTCTATACTTTATATATTAATTAGTCAAGTCATATACAATATATTTTGCATTATTTGCGACAACGCTGAAAATCAGAGAAAATAATTTTCCAATTACATTTATATCACAACAATATTTTTGAAATTTTTTTTTATTTCAAAATACAGAATCTCGTTGACGGTCAATTTAATCTCTAAAGATTTCTATTTCAAATTTCATATATCAAAAACTGACAATATTTAGACTTTTATGACTACATTAATTGTATAAAATGTCATTTATTGATTCAAATAATAAAAGCTGGAAAGGTTACAACATATAATCCCCAAGTCTCTTTGACTTCTTCTTCTTCTTCTTCTTATTCACTTCTCCAATCATTCACTTCCTTCAAAAGTCTCTCATAACCTCTCACTTGACTTGTATCTAACGAAGCTTCTTTGATCTAAAAGTAAGTTTTCTCTGCCGCCTCTATCTCCTCTTTTTCGCTGGTACATTGTTTTGAGATCTCTACACATTTAGTTTTGTATTGGTATTGGTGAGGATGACTTGTGCAAAACTCGCAGCCTCCTTTTGTTTCTTAATATTTTCATTGATTTTTTTTTGTCTATATATAGATTTTCTGAAGTTGTATGCCGAATTGCCGATCACCATAAACTTTTTAGGAGTATGTAATGAAAAGATTTGAGTAAAAAGTTCACTAAAGGTTTAGCGATCAGTTTATTGATTAAATTGTTTACTTTGAATGAAGGAAAAAAAATACTAATTACAATCATGACAAATGGTGGTGGTGGCGGAAACAACGGAGCAGCAAACCGGACGGAGGACTTACAACCCCACCCGGTGAAAGAACAACTCCCCGGAATCCAATACTGCGTCAACAGTCCTCCTCCTTGGTGTAAGTTTTGTTTTATTGAATATTGGTTATTATTTTAATTTATTTATTTTATATCTTATTTCTGTGTGTGTGTGTGTAAATGTAATATGTTTGGTGTTTGCAGTTGAAGCCGTAGTGTTGGGTTTCCAGCATTATTTGTTGAGTCTTGGCATCACAGTTCTCATTCCAAGTCTATTAGTTCCACTCATGGGAGGTGGTGATGTAAGTATATGATTATTTCTTGAGATGTTTTTTTTTTTGAAAATTATAAAAATATCTTACATAACTATTATCAAACCTCAACACACACAAATATGCTCTTCCAGATTTTGATTTTAAAAATATGATTTTGTTTTTTTAGTTACTATTTCAATTTATTTGTGGGAGTTGGTTAATTACTATATTTTCAAATTTTGGGTTATGATACTCTTTCGGTTAGACAAACAAAATTTCTATATAAATTCTTGTAAATATTAAATTTTCTATACATACATTTTGATTTTGTTTTTCTATATATGTTTCGACATTTTCAGGCAGAAAAGGTTAAAGTAATACAAACATTACTATTTGTGTCTGGATTAACAACATTGTTCCAGTCTTTCTTCGGAACTCGATTGCCTGTGATAGCTGCGGCTTCTTATGCCTATATCATACCTATCACTTCCATCATTTATTCGACCCGATTCACTTACTACACTGATCCTTTTGAAGTAAGTCTTATAACATTAGTATTATTATCATTAATTTTACAAACTATATTGTACTAAAAATAAATTTTTTGATGTATATAACATAACTAATCAGAGGTTTGTGAGAACAATGAGAAGCATACAAGGAGCTTTGATTATAACCGGATGTTTCCAAGTTCTTGTCTGTTTTCTAGGCGTATGGAGAAATATTGTTAGGTAAGTAAATTACTTAACATTTTTTTGCCAAAGAAGAAATACGTTATTATGTTTCTAACATTAAACATGAATTTATTTTTGATTTGCGCTTATTAGATTTCTAAGCCCACTCTCCATTGCTCCTTTGGCAACATTTACCGGATTGGGACTCTACCACATTGGCTTCCCTTTGGTATGTGTATATCCAAATGTTTTTATTGATTATTGAATAATTATGTAGAGTTATAATATGATGCAAAAATCTTTCATTTTTCAGTTAGCAAGATGCGTTGAAGTAGGACTTCCCGGGTTGATCTTACTTGTTTTTGTCACTCAGGTAAAGTTCTAACCGTTGTTTTTAGCTTTCTTTTGTTTTAAATCCATACACGATTAGCCAAAATAAAATATAGATCATCGAAAAACACTAATTTAGCCAACGCGAATTATTTTGGTTACGTATACATTTTACATGTCACTTTTTAATTTTTAAGTTTACGTAAACTATTTGTGTTAAGAGTATTTTTATTTTATGCTTGGCTTTGACATTTACAATTAACAATTTTTTTTTTTGTCGGGTGCAGTACTTACCGCGTTTTCTGAAGATGAAGAAAGGAGCGATGATTTGGGATGGAAACAGATGTGACCGCTATGGGATGATGTTATGCATTCCAATGGTATGGTTGTTCGCTCAGCTACTCACATCGAGTGGTGTTTATGACCACAAGTCTCAGACTACTCAAACCAGTTGTCGTACAGATCGTACTGGTCTCATCACCAACACTCCTTGGTCAGTTCTTCTATTTGAAATGTTTATTTTTTTTCCATGTAGAGATTTCACTATTTTGGTATTCATAATTTATATTTATTCTTTTTATGTGAATAATAGGATATACATACCATATCCTTTTCAATGGGGAAGCCCAACTTTCGACATCACTGATTCTTTTGCGATGATGGCTGCGTCTTTCGTCACTCTCTTCGAGGTTAAACTTTATTCTTATACCTAAATTGATACTAAAAATCATGGAAAATAATATTTAGCGTACTATGATTAAGTATGAAGAGTGATAAGTTTTATGTACTATTGTAGTCGACTGGTTTGTTCTATGCATCAGCAAGATATGGAAGTGCGACGCCGATTCCACCATCGGTTGTTAGTCGTGGTACTGGCTGGCTGGTTAGTCTAACAAAAACTTAATCAAGTCACATTTTTTAAAATATACTTTTTTATACCGTTTATTAACTATTTATTTCATCATCTCATGAATATTTGAATATATATCTTGTAGGGAGTTGGAGTATTACTCAATGGTATGCTTGGAGGCATCACGGGGATCACAACATCAACGTAACGAAACTTATCTCTAAATTACAAATTTTTAATTTTTTGAGCATTTATCTTTAGTATATAATATATAAAGTATACTAACTAAAGACTAATGATATGATTTTGATATGGGTGTACCTTAATATTCAGAGAAAATGTTGGACTTTTGGCAATGACTAAGATTGGGAGTAGAAGAGTGATACAAATATCAGCTGCCTTCATGCTTTTTTTCTCTATTTTTGGTAAAAGAATTTGTTATAACCTATTATAATCTTTAAATGATTTTTTGAATTGTTTACTGATTTGATAACTTATTTATTTTAATCAAAATGCAGGAAAGTTTGGAGCGTTTTTCGCGTCAATACCATTACCAATCATGGCATCTCTTTATTGCATCGTCTTGTGTTTTGTATGTAAGTCTCTTTATCTATTACACTTATAATTTCTTTAAAGTGTAAAATTACATTTTATATTAATATATGTATTTATTACTAAAAATAAAATAAAATTTAATTGGTTGCAGCTTCCGCGGGACTTAGTTTTCTACAATTCTGCAACCTCAATAGCTTCAACACCAAATTCATTGTAGGATTTTCTTTTTTCATGGCTATTTCAATCCCTCAATATTTCAGAGAATATTACAATGGAGGTTGGCGGTCTGATCATCGCTCGAATTGGGTAAATTACATCTTCTTATATACTTTAAAGCACATTTTTTAAATTACAAATGCTTTTTTTTATAACTTAACAAATTGAAAATTATTTTATGTAAATACAAAACAGTTGGAAGATGTGATAAGAGTGATATTCATGTCCCACACAACGGTTGCGGCAATAATAGCGATAGTGCTTGATTGCACATTGTGTCGTGAAAGTGATGAAGCCAAGAAAGATTGCGGACTGAAATGGTGGGATAAGTTTCGACTATATAATCTTGACGTGCGAAACGATGAGTTTTACGGTCTACCTTGCAACCTCAA